AGACTAATTGTTTCCTATATAGGATGATGAGGTTGGCTGATGAGAATCAAGTCATTCAAAGGCGAGCAGGAATTGTATTCAAGAATCTAAAAGTGTGTGGTTCCGGATCAGCAATCAACGTGCAAAAGAATGTCGCCTCTCTGTTAATGGCACCTTTACGATTCAGAGAATTCATTGGAAAAGGTCCGGAGAAGACCATCCTCAATGACTTCAATGGTGTTTTGAAATCAGGAGAAATGTTGATTGTTCTCGGAAGACCTGGTTCCGGTTGTTCCACGTTTCTTAAATCTTTAATGGGAGAACTTTACGGATTGGACATGAAGCCACAATCGGAAATTCATTATAATGGTTTGTTGAATTCATACACCCATTGACCAGTGATAATGCTAATGATTGTAGGTATTACACAGAAGCAAATGCTCAAACAATTTCGAGGTGAAATTGTATACAACCAAGAAGTTGATAAGCATTTCCCTCATTTGACTGTTGGGGAGACTTTAGAATTTGCTGCGAGTGTTCGAACGCCTCAACAAAGACTTGTTGAGGGAACAACTCGTTCAGCCTGGGCAAAGCATATGACTAAGGTTGTCATGGCTATTTATGGATTATCCCACACGTACAACACTAAAGTCGGTAATGATTTTGTACGAGGTGTATCTGGAGGTGAGAGGAAACGTGTTAGTATTGCTGAGATGGCATTGGCTGGTTCACCAATTGCTTCATGGGACAATGCTACACGTGGTTTAGATGCTGCCACTGCTCTGGAGGTAAGTAAAGTTTCACTGTGGCGACCACTAGCACATCACTGATTCAAAAATAGTTTACGAAGTCATTGCGAATGACTGCCAATCTGTGTGGTTCATGCCATTTAGTTGCCATTTATCAAGCTAGTCAACAGATTTATGATCAATTTGATAAAGCTATTGTGCTTTATGAAGGTCGTCAGATCTATTATGGTCCCTGTGACCAAGCGAAGCAATACTTCGTGGATATGGGTTGGGAGTGCCCAAAGTAAGTGCTAAAAACAAAATGCCATGACTATATGCAATTATTTAAACAATGCTGATCGAATATAGCCGTCAAACCACTGGTGACTTTTTGACTTCGATCACCAACCCCTCGGAGCGAAAAGTAAGACCTGGTTATGAGAAGAAGGTTCCTAGAACCCCTGAAGAATTCGAGAAATACTTCAAAGATTCCAAGATCTTCCAGAGAGTGATGAGCGAAATGAAATCGCACGAAGAGGAATTCCCAATGGGCGGCAAAACATTGGAACAATTCAAAGCAAGTCGAAAGGGTATGCAAGCAGACCATTTACGACCAGAGTCACCATATACAGTCAGCGTTATCATGCAGACAAAACTTTGTGCAAAGCGAGCAGTTCAACGCTTATGGAACGACAAAACATCCACCGTTACCACAATAATAGGACAGATTGTCATGGCTTTGATCATCGGATCTATCTTTTACGATACCCCGGATAATACAGCGAGTTTCTTCCAAAAAGGAGGTGTGCTTTTCTTTGCGGTATTACTCAATGCCCTCATCGCCATTTCGGAAATTAACACTCTGTACTCTCAACGACCGATCGTAGAGAAACAAGCATCTTACGCATTTTATCATCCTTTCACTGAAGCCTTGGCTGGTGTTGTCGTTGATATACCGGTAAAATTCGCTATCGCTACGGGTTTCAACATTATTCTATACTTTCTCGCTGGTCTGAAAAGGGAAGCAGGTGCATTCTTTGTCTTTTTCCTCTTCAATTTTGTTGCAATTCTCACGGTAATTATTTCTTTCACGTGGTAATAAATTCACAATACTAATAAACACTTCAGATGAGTCAAATATACCGCAGTATTGCAGCAGCAACGAAAACTATATCCCAAGCATTAGCCATAGCTGGTGTGGCAACACTTGCGATTGTCATTTATACAGGTTTCGTCATTCCTAGACCACTAATGCATCCTTGGTTCAAATGGATCTCATGGATCAATCCAGTTGCATATGCATTCGAAGCTTTATTCGTCAATGAACTACATGGAAAAGAGTTTGTTTGTTCAACTTTAGTACCAACAGGTCCTGGATATGTTCAAAGTGGCTCCAACTTTGTTTGCGCTGTTGCAGGCTCTGTCGTTGGCTCAAATACCGTCAGTGGTGATGATTATTTGCAAGCACAATTTCAATACTCTTACTCCCACATCTGGCGTAATTTGGGATTCATGTTTGCATTCATGATTTTCTTCTTGGCTTTTTACCTCGCTGCGACAGAGTTCAATGCATCGACAGACAGTAAAGCCGAAGTCTTAGTCTTTCGTCGTGGACATGTACCACAGAGCTTGTTGGCCGCCGAAAAAGCTGCAAAGAACGATGAAGAAGCACATGTCGGTAATGGTTCCGCTGGTAAGGAAGAAAACTCGGACAAACAAGGAGAAGAAGTTCAAGCATTGCCCCCACAAACGGACGTATTCACATGGAAAGATGTTTGTTATGACATTAAGATCAAGAATGAGCCTCGCAGACTTCTTGATAATGTATCCGGATGGGTCAAGCCTGGTACTTTGACTGCCTTGATGGGCGTTTCTGGTGCAGGAAAAACAACTTTGCTTGACGTCCTCGCCCAAAGAGTCTCCATGGGTGTAATCACAGGTGATATGTTGGTCAGCGGCAAACCCCTCGATGCATCCTTTCAACGAAAGACTGGATACGTTCAACAACAAGATTTACATCTTGAAACCACAACTGTTAGAGAAGCTCTTCGATTTTCTGCCATGCTACGCCAACCGAAATCTGTTTCCAAGCAAGAAAAGTATGATTTCGTGGAAGACGTTATCAAGATGTTGAACATGGAAGAGTTCTCGGAAGCAGTGGTTGGTGTTCCAGGTGAGGGACTGAATGTCGAACAACGAAAGTTATTGACTATTGGTGTCGAATTGGCTGCTAAACCTGCACTCTTACTCTTCTTGGATGAACCTACTTCTGGTCTTGATTCGCAATCTTCATGGGCAATCGTTTCGTTTTTGAGAAAGTTGGCCGATAATGGCCAGGCAGTCTTGGCTACTATCCATCAGCCTAGTGCTATTCTGTTCCAAGAATTCGACCGATTGCTATTTTTAGCAAAGGGTGGAAGAACTGTCTATTTTGGAGATATCGGTCATAACTCAGAGACTTTACTCAAATATTTTGAATCTCATGGTGCTGCTAAATGTGGTGAAGATGAGAATCCGGCAGAGTATATGCTGACAATGGTCGGTGCTGGTGCACAAGGAAAATCTACTCAAGATTGGTAAGTTCGAACCTCCTTTCTCTGATAACATCGAGACTAATTCAATGTAGGCATCAAGTATGGAAAGAAAGTGATGAAGCCAAAGATATCCAAACAGAAATCGCACGCATTCAACAAGAAATGGGCCATCAGTCATCTCAAGATGATAGTAATTCCCATAGCGAATTCGCCATGCCATTCGCTATTCAACTTCTTGAGGTTACGAAGCGTGTATTCCAACAATACTGGCGTACTCCGGGTTATGTATACTCCAAACTTCTTCTTGGTGTGGCATCTGCTCTCTTCATTGGATTTTCATTCTTCCACGCCGATGCATCTCAACAAGGTCTTCAAGATGTTATCTTCTCCATCTTCATGATAACAACTATCTTTACCACCCTCGTACAACAGATCATGCCTAGATTCATTCTACAAAGAGATCTTTACGAAGTTCGAGAAAGACCATCAAAAGCATACAGCTGGAAAGCTTTCATCATCGCTAATATCGTTGTCGAAATTCCATATCAAATTCTCCTTGGTATCATGGTGTTTGCGTCCTACTTTTATCCAATTTATACCAATAATGGTATTCCATCATCGGGTCGTCAAGGGCTTATTCTCCTTCTTCTTATTCAATTTTTCGTCTTTGCTAGCACATTCGCACATATGCTTATTTCCGCTCTTCCGGATGCCGAAACTGCTGGTAATATCGCAACATTGATGTTCTCACTTACCCTTACCTTTAATGGAGTCTTTCAACCCCCACAAGCTCTTCCTGGATTTTGGATCTTCATGTACCGTGTTTCGCCTTTAACTTGTAAGTTTTTCTTCTCTCCTCTATTAGTAGATATCAATGCTAACATATTCAGACATCGTTTCAGCTATCGCATCTACTGGTCTCTCCGGTCGTCAAGTAACCTGTTCCGACAATGAACTCGCAGTCATGCAACCACCCGCTGGCGATACTTGTGGTAGCTACCTCCAGTCATATGCCACAGCAGCTGGAGGTTCCATCTACAACCCCGAAGCTACAGCAGATTGTCAATATTGTTCCTCATCCAATGCAGATCAATTCCTCTCGTCGGTAGCGATTAGCTATAATACTCGTTGGAGGGACTATGGTATCGTTTTCGCATACATTGTTTTTAATATTTTCATGGCGGTTTTGTTGTACTATTTGATTAGAGTTAGAAAGAGTAGTGGAAAGAGCTTCAAGGAAAAGTTGGGGGCTTTGGGAGCACTCTTCAAGAAGGATTCGAAAAGTGATAATACGAAGACGACGGGAAAGAAAATGGAGGCTCCACAAGCTAAGGGCCATTAGTTGTCGAGACGTGGAGAGTTAATATGTAATTATTTAGGGATGATTTGTTGTTTATTAGAAGGGGCGTGCGTCCAGATGGCTCACGCTTTCTATTCTTTTCGTTGCTATTGCCGTTGCAATTTTCTGTACATTCTTAACTAGATTAATGGTATATACCTGATTTGAAGCTTTTCAAATAGTCGTATATCCCATGGGTTTCAAATATGAATATGAGATTCGTGGGGGTGATATACCCCGCCAGACATAATCGATCGTGCTTTCCATGGGGGTCGTAGTTGATCAAGACTCATTTTGTGAATCAATCTGCTTCGGATCCCAGGCTACCTCTGTGTGCACGCTCAGGTCTACGCCTGACTCGCTAGAACTACCACAATAACATACCAAATCTCATCACATCCACAGCACAGCCGTATACCTCTAAGCCTCGCAAAGATGGCCATCCTTCCTTTCAACCCAACGATCACTCTTCAAAGCCCCCAAAGCATAAAACCTGTCCAACGAATCATAATTCGTCTTAATTGCATCCAAACGATCATAATTTGCACCATAGAACGCCCTCTTCCAATCCGGTTGTTGAACATCCGCCTCATTGAGATATACTGATCCATCCGGAGTCAAGGCCGCAATTGCAGGACCAATAGTATTAGTCATGAAATTCTGACTCTGGAAATTGGCTGAGAAATCGGTGTAATTGCGGTAAGTGTCAAAGACCACATTCATAAGTGTTTTTCTCCAGTAAGGGTTGATGGATATTTCGGGGTGTTGGGAACTATTGTTTTGTTTACCTTAAGGGTTACGCCGGCTATTAGATACTTGTTGTCGACGCTGGTTTGGAGGACGGATATGAAACTGTCGGTATCGTTTTGCACGACTGATCGTGGGAGTAGACGGCCTGCTGTGCTGGCGTTGGAGACGTTGGCGTCGAAATTGGTGGAATTTTGGTATTCTAGAAATAAGGAGGATACTGAGGATGTGTAAGTATAAGGGATCTCGGCTTTGTCGAGTGCGGAAAGGGTGGGCGGGAAGAGGCTATCGATTGTATCTTGCGCGACGTCAAGACCTGTGACTGGGGAGATGAAGGAAAAACCAGGCCCGATGATCCAGACGATCTGTAAGCCGCTATCGACCATTAGTGGTAATGATTGTAGGAACCTTTTGACAGTCTGCCAATATGCAGCAAGCCCTTCTGTTGTAATTGGAGGGGCAAATTGCAAACTCGCGGAAGATATTGAAGTGACTTTGGATGAAATTTCATAGTTCCGGACAGAACAATACTGTATATTCCTCTACCACCTCTAGATAGAGTTTAAAAGAGATCTGAATTTTGAGTAGAAGTAACTATAACAAGTATTCCTAACCCAATCACAACTTGCCATTCCAAGACCTGGTCAACTGTCAACCCGAACTTTGTAGTAAGCGGTCCAAGTCCACCCCCTTGCCCATAACCGCCAGCCAGTGCGACAGTAGAACGATTTCCAGCAACAATAATGTCATTGTTTGCATCGACAAATTCGTAAGCTTGTTGAAATGAAACCCCCGATCCAACTACTACTGCTTTTTCTGTATATACCGAGAAATTATACGTTTCAAAAAGAGAGATTGATGTTAAATGATGTATCCAAATTACAAGAGCACCAGCCCCAGTGGATTTGCCATTATATTCATGGCCGGTGGCGCGAATCACCAGACGAATATTAAAAAGATTGGCAAATGTGACTGCTGCATTGACATCGTCCGTCGTAGTTGCATTGACTGTATAGCTAATATAGTTACCTAAAGCACACGATGTAGTGTCCGAAAGAAAGGGATTACACGTATTATTTGTGAACGTCCAAGCCATAGTGGAGGGAGAAGAAGAAAAGTGGGTTTCTGAGAGAAATCAATTGTCTTTCAACGCAGCACATGCTTCTGCATCGTAGGTTGCAAACTGGTCGCTGTGACAAACGGCCGTGATAGGGACGGTAGCAATTAGTTTGACACCTATCATTTGATTGAATCCGCCCAGTCACTGATGCCGGGATAGAATTCATCTCCTGGGAAACAGCGGCACACAGAAGGAATCAGTCATGTTGACATTGCTTCATGAAGCAAAATGCGCCATCGAAGGTAACAGAGCGAGCATACTGCCAAAGATAGACGACATGATTGCGATGATCTAGATACTCCCAATAGCCCGTCCCGATTCCAAGAGAAGCGCGGTCCATCATTTATATATCGATTCTCTTATATCGTGAAAGACGGAGTTTTTGTTAGTATCTTGTTGGCGACCAACGACTTACCACAAGGGTTGAGGTACTGATAGCCACTGGGATACAGGGCATATTGGTCCCATTTCTTCTTGGTGAACCAACCGTTGGGCTTTTGCAATATTTGGAACTGCCAGCACTGGATAGTTACATTGCTAGTACAAGATGATATTATATTGCAGCGTCCCACAGTTTTTTGATCTTATAGACGCAATCAGCAGTACTTTCGGTCGATAAATATGATGTGCTTGACTCCAGGGTAATTGCACGACCACTTCAATTCTTGCATCTCGAATATTAATACTCCAATATCTAGGAATTATTCTGCCACGTGGGTGCTCGTTTGTTGTTGTCATATGTAAACCGATATGAATATTTCTAAGGCGAGATTTATAGGCTCTGTTTGTTAATGGGAAAGCTCATCAACCAAAAAGGCAAATGAAAGGCGATGGGCATAGGTAATGCGTGTTTGTTTCTCCTGGGTGTATGTGAAGTATGCGATTATGAATGGATCCACATTCTAGTGTAAATGTACGGATTACCAAGCTAATCTTGACGACACCTCACCAATATCAGACTTCACTCTGTTTGGATACCCGATCAACTTTGGAGTGAGTAGTGAGATTGCGAGAAATACCAAATTTGAGATGATCGTAAGGTAAAATAGGGCATGATAGATGAGCGGAGGTGGCAAAATCCTTGGGGATTTCTTCGTATTATCAAACTGGGGTCGAACTTGGATCGGCTCCGAAGGTGATGTAGTAATCAAAAGGCTTCAGAATTTCGACATTGGGGGAAGTATAGCAAGCGCCCGATGATCCCAAAGCGCGGAGGTGGAATATCATCGCCTTGCTTCACTATCAAATTTTCGGACTCGACAGTACCGAGTATCTGTGGAGGCTTAGATAGTAGTACGCTAAGTAAATGTGGCAAGCTCTGGAACATGTTTGATTATTCAGTGCAAGAAAGTATCCAGATATATTCTTGTTCGAGGAGGGACCAAATGGAATGTTTATTTCTTGCCCAAAGAAGCTTCAGCCTTCTTTCTTTCTGACTTTATCTCAAGTAATCTTGCCCTCTTTTCGCCAATCAGTCTTGCCGTGTTCGTCATGACTCTCTCAAGATCTTTAATACCCTTTTTCAAAGCCGTAGCCTCAGACTCTGTTCCAACATTCATCTCTCTGATTTTCCCTTCAATCTCAGCCGTTTTTTGAACATACTCTTCAGTGTCTCCGTCTTCTATAGCATAGATAGAGTCGACTTGTTCTATTACCACGTATGGGTTCTCGCAATCTTCTCTGACGGGCCTAACATAATCATCTCCATCCCTAATTATTAATCTCAAATTGTTGTGCCGATGCTGCTGACGAAGTTTTGTAGGTACTGCATCAGTATTGAGTTCAGTTGTTTCAGATTTTTTCAAGATGCTTCGATTGGATGATGAACCAGGAGACGGCGTGGCTACCTGAAATAGTTCAGATCCGTAGTTTTTCTTAGGTGGTGCCGGGGAAACGGATATGTTCAGAGTTGGCTTGTTGGAAAGGCTGGGGATTTTGTACCGCTCAGTAGTTTCCGCATTTTCTTCCTCCCGCTTATTTCTGGCAGCTGAGACGGAAAGTCAGTTTGGATACCAATAATGCGAATTTAAATTCTTGTAGTGTACTTACCTCTCTGCTTAATTTGAGCTTCAGAAATTATCATGGCTAGCGTTTTTTTCTTGGCTTGGTTCTTATCATCTTCAGCTGCTAGGATTGCATCATTAGTATCTCAAAAGAGAAGTAGAATCCAAATAACTGACTTTCTGTGCCTCTTTCCCGATTTTTAGTTCTCCGAGAAACCTTTGTAATAACACATCTGCTTGACCTCTTTCTTCCCGTCTCGAAGCTGATGTGAAGGTTAATATTAAGATTCTACATGGCAATATAGGCTTACTCACCCTCTGTAGCCGAGATTTCGGCGTTCTGGTTGTTGACTTCCATTTGTAATGATTCAGTAGGAGCTTTCTATGAGGTTAGGATTCAGCAATAAAGATAAATACCAAGGAGAAGATTAAACAATTACTGACTTTCTTCTTCTAGTTTGCTTGCTTGATCAATCAGGCGTTTTCTGCGTCTCTGTCTTGTCAAATGATTAGGCATGACCTTGAATTTGTGAACCAAATAGATTCCGAAATGAAGGTAAGATTTTATTTTAGTAGTAAGATGCCGACGATAGGGCTATCAGAGGCAATTGGAAGTCTAGTTTTGGTTAGCGGTCTTTTGGCAATCGCTTAATTCCACACTACTTTCTCATAATCTGAACTGTTGCCATGAGAATTTTTTCACTCATATACCAGTGGAACTACAAATTCGTAAGTATCTCGAGAAAACAAAAGAAGCAAACAAAAGTCTGATCAACTATTCAACGCATGATCAAGTTGATGGGAAAGAGCTGACTCTCAATCAAAGCTTCAGATCTCCGAAGATCATAAATGCCAATTACACTAAATATTTCGATCGAGATCTGATCCCAATTTGTGGAAGTTCAATATCGAGTTTGTGGCTTGGTGGCTGATCAGTAAGTGAAAATCCAAGAACATCAAAATATCTTGCTAATAATGGACTATAGGCAATTCTTCCAATCGAAAAGCTGAATTCCCTGGTGTGCGCCCATATGTGGTTGTGCCGACAGCGGTACAAAGCTCTGAAGAAGATTGTGCTCGTTGGAAGAGCATGGGCAACTTTGCGGTATTCCAAGGTAGCCAGATGCTCGATGTGCCATGGGCGCATCGTCTGAATTCCAGCGTTCATGGCTGGAAGACTAAAGATGGACTCCCAGTCCCATTTTTTGGGCATCTGATTCACCACCACAGAGCCTGGCTTCTAACGACTGGTGAGAGCCTCCGAACAATCCAATCTTTCCAGAAAAAAATTGGATCTGAGTTCAAGGTTACAGTCGAAAGACCTGACCGAAAACAAGGGCAAAATGCCACCTTTGTCTACGTTTACCTCACCGTCAACAACTCTGAAAACTGTCGCAAAGTCAACATTCTGATGGATCTTGCATACATTCTGAACTTCCTCGGCCGTTAAAAAGATGTAGTAATCCAATACGCGCTTCATGAACCGGGATTCCAGACATCGCTCATTTCTGGAACACCTACGTGACTTCCGAATATCCTCAACCTGCTGATTCCAAGTTCCCGATGGGGGAGTCATCTGAAAACGTTTCTGAATCTAGTCAAGAAGAGGAAGATGAGTATAACCGCCTCGTCGAGGAAGAAGACCGAAAGGTCAAAGAAGCTGGGGAGAAGGCCGAGAAATTGGTACGTTCTCTTTTTGTACTTGTGTTTTCATACTTTTCAAATCATACTGACAACTTATAGGCAGCTGAAGCAAAGAACGCCGAGGAGGAGAAGGCAGCTGAAGAAGCCAAGGTGGCTTTGGAGAAAGCTGTATGTTCTTTTGTACTTGTTTTGATATCATACTAACATCCTATAGGAACACCCTCTGATCAAGAATCCGATTGAAAAGCCCGATTGGATTGATTTGAGGACTCTCGCAGTAAGTTGCATTGCTAATTCCTCTCGTCTACACATCATACTAACTGTTTTTCATAGTGGGTGGTCGCAAACTATTCTGGGCAGTTGCCGCAAGATGAGCTCGTGATAATTCTCCGAAGCGATTTCTGTCTTGGTCCGAAATCCTGATCTCTGAATGATCTTGTGGAATATGAGTGGTTGCTGGTTCTCATTGCGATTTGAAGCGGTATACCAATATTTTTCTCCATATGAGGTAAAAGAAATAGCTCCCCAATAGAATCTTCTTCAAACGCATGTGAAGTCTTTTTCTTTCAATGTGATCCCTCTCTAGACTGTTCTAAAATATTGGTTACTTTATCTTTGATAGGCTATCACTGGAATGACATTCAATCCCCAATGTGTAGAAACATGAGAAACATGAGGAAAACACGATTATCACATGTTCGAGATCCAGAGAAATCAATAGTATGATCCCAGTGCCCTCAATCAGGCCCGTAGCTGCCGGTAAAGTATTAAGACTGCCATTGTGTGTTATTCAAGCAGATTCTGCATTTTACAAAGCTGCAAGATGAACAAACCCTCAAATATGAGATACTCCCTCGACAATCTTCACGGGGCGGGTCGAGGGTTTTTGAGCTCTCTTTACAAAGAGCGAATTGGTACGATATACGAAACTCTATCGGCTTTGGATTCTCACATAGTTCAGTTCTTCGGTGTCGGGAATTGAGGAAGAAGTACATGAGAAAGTCACTCTGGCAAATCTGGTTTGCTATCTGATTCAACATGTGCGCTGTAGCTTCATAGCTTTTAACGCATGATAATTACAAGAATACCACACCATGAACACCGATAAATCTATACATACACTCACGTAGACTCATAATAAATGGACCATGATACATGAAAGCACACTTATATGATAGGTAAGAGCCCTTTAGCTCTTGATTTTCAAAGACTCCCCTTCAGTGCACCCATTCCCCAGTCGGTATACAAGTGACAAACGGTAAAGTACACATCCGTGTATTCTAATCACGTATGGCAATGTCCAAAAGAGAGAACTGCTAGGTAATATGAAAGTGAGATGATGTTTGAGCTAGTTCAGCTATCATGTGATCATGATTCGTTGCGCGGAGACCATGCGAGGTTTTGAGATAACCACAAATTCTGAGCAGGACACAAACATCAAGGCATAACACTTTGCAACTTTTACCTTTAAGACAACATGCACCGAACAAGACACCATATAGACTACTCTGATAATGAAGAAATTCAATTACCCGTTCCAAAACGAGTGCCGATTATTTGGTCCGACGAGGATGATAAAGCTCTTGCTGAAACATCTCCATGGAAAATTCGAATCTGGAGGAAAGTAAAGGAGTTATATGGAATCGATGCCACAGATATTATTCCTCCAAACACAACAGCATCCTTTCTATCTGATCGTGGAACTGACAACGTTCCTGTTTGGGCCGTACTTCCTGCTCGGAGATTGACGAAGATACTGAAATGTCCAATTTTTAGAGGCCATTCTGGATTGAACTTATTACATTACTCAATTTTATTGGCCAGATTTCATCGCCTGCCTCATTCGAGTCTGAATCCGAACAACAAAAAAGTACGCCAATATCTGGAAAATCATTTGCCCTCATTACCTGAAGCCCCAAGAGATCTGCCAATACACTCTGACTTCACCAAAAACATCAAGAGATGCGCCGAACAGAATACCAGAGAATCGTCCGTGGCTTTAGGAATTTCTGCTTTGGATTTCGAAACCATTATAAACTCATGGGATGCCTATGTTAGGGAGAATCCTGAACACGGATTAAAAACCGTTGCTGAATATTCAGCTCGGAGGACCGAACGTATATCAGTGTCCGAGAATGGGGCAATTATACAAATGAAAAAGAGAGCATTGGTGAATGCATTTCGTCGACCTGAAGACAGGATTGCTGATGATGTACAAATGCCTGAAGAGCCAAATGATCTCGAATCCCCTAACATGACTTCTGACGACGAACCCCCGATGCAACATCAAGAAGATATTGGCAATCTTGAGTACCAATCTGAGCCTATGGCTGAAAATCCACCACCTCGGCAGTCAACACAAAATGGACGAGATTCGCGGCGAGAGCCTGTAGCTCAAAATTATTTCCAAAGTGAGAGCGAAGATTCTGAGTATCAATCCAGCTACAAAGCTCTGAATGGAACATACAATCGTTCAGGGAAGAAACAAGGGAATAAAGGCAAAGCACATTCTGAACACCAGCCACACTCTGCAACTCGGCACCAGTCATCAGAGAATTTGGCACAACACCAAAGCGAGTGAAGGTTCTGATCACCAGCCGAGCCCCGCAACCCTGAAAAAGGCTTCTGATAACTTATCGGTACGCCAGGGAAGAGTTCTGCCTAAGGCTGGAGCTCGGAACAGGATGATGAAGTCTCATTCCCCTCAAAGAGGTCCTTCAAGTGGTCGTCGATTCTCCAAGCAGAATCCTCTCGTCTTCGCTAAAGTTATTGTCATTTCCTCTGACGATGAACATTGGATACAAAAAAGAAGCAATGGAGCAGGACCGAGAAGAGGGAAAACCCTCCCTGAAACAACGAGAACCCGATCTTCTGAACACTCGGCACAAGTAAGAGCAAAGAAAGAATTCAAAGCCGAGCCGATAACCGATAATCGGAGTGGGCTTTATGCGGGAAGTAAAAGAGGAACAGAAGGTTATGGACTTGAAGGCGAGGAAGTTGCGACTTATCCTATGATTCGTGCACGATCATCTGACTCACCAATCCGATACCAGAGAGGCCCTTCACATCGAACCAAATTATCTTCATATTTCTTGCAACGCCGAACAGGATGGGAGGATTCTGATATAGAAGACGAGGATGATCAGCCTGAGGTCATGATGAAAGATTTGGCACAATGCGGAAGAAAAGGAAATTCGAAACAAGAGACTGGGAGTTCTATATCACAAGCCAGAGTACAAATAGCTTCCGAATATCAATACGAGCCTCCGAATTCCCTGTCCGACCACAGACAAAAACAAAGTGTCGAATCTCAAATCCCACCCCTGAACTCTTTTCCAGATCGGAGTGGACGACATGGAAACTCTGATTATCAATTCGAACCTCCGAGTTCCCAGCTGGACCGCATAAAAGAAAGAAGTTTTGAATCTCAATTCCCCTCCCTGAAATCTTTCCAACATTGGACTGTACGAGAAAGAAACTCTGATTACAAATTCAAAATTTCGAGTTCCCTACTGAATAGCAGACAAAAAGAAAGTGCTGTATCTCAAATCCAATTAGTACGTTCACATCTCTAGTCTTTAGTACGACAGCATGATTGACCGTAATAAATTGAGAAGACAGGCAATTTAGTTGACTGTTTCATACAGTCACTACCGAAGTTGATTACATCATTGCTCATGACTTATCACCAGGTAATGGCCGTAGATAATATCCTATTGGTAAAGTCCAGCACAGTGATTCAGTTGCATCAACTGAATTAAAGTAAATCCAGTATAGTCCTCATGATTTTCAAAAGACATGATTTTGACCGTAGTTATCTGTCAAGTGAACCGTACGTGGATATGGATGAAGACTAGTTGTACGGACCGTAATATCATATCAACACCACTAGAAACGGTACAAGTACCGTAATGAAACATTTATAATGATCAATAGATGACAGTGAATTAACTATGAATCATGGTGTACTTAAACGGAATACAAGTATCACGTGATACACTATCTTGTCGTTTAATGTTAAAATGGAAATGATGCTGTGTTCTAATATCTAGGCGAACGAGATGGATTGGAAGATGGTTTATATCCATCATGATACTTACAATCAAGTCTAGATGTGCTCACAGCAAATATCCAGTCAATCACTCAATCACTCAATCACTCTATTGCTCAATTGCTCAATTGCTCGGATTCTGAGACGCTCAATCAGTGATGTTCACGTGGAAACAAGCACTCAATTCACGAAACTATCCACAAAAATGCATGTCTAAATGCTGGATGAAAACTATATGTTCACTAGATGTAGTTATTAATCGAGAAATCTGGATAATTTGATCGATATAATCTGATGTTATTGTAAAGCAAGTATGAAACCCTGCATTACATTTCACTATGAGATGATCATAAGAGATGGTATTAGAAAGGTGGAAACTCGAGTGTCACTACTAAGTCAATAGTCAGATGCCTTTTATGTATGAATTCTGGCAGTATATATTGCTTCAGTATATCCCTCTCTAAACCACGCTTCAGTGAGGAAGAACTGCTTCCACTGGTTTCGGGATGTAGAGATTCTCTAAATGTCGCAGTTGAAGAACAATATGTATACCAAATCATAACTTGTGACTAATCTTTCAAATTAGTGAAAATTGCAGTAGGATTAGAGTTTTGTTATAGTAATTCCTGATTTTCCTGTTAGCCTGGTGACAGATTAATTAGGCCTTCTAATCGGACTTGAGCAAGAAAATCAATCAATCACTCATTATATCTTCTATCAGACGGCCAAGCTATCTTGCTTCTTAGTGATCTTTGCAAGCGTCCGTTGTACCCAACTTCTTCCTACATATTTTACGGTCTCTTTGTATTTCCCTGTACGTTTTACACAAGATAATACAAGACTGTGCTACATATGTCGGGATCACAAGAGGGTACTGTATTAGCTAGCGAGACGCTAGCACTTCCTTATATAACTACTAGCTTCCCATGATTGCCTAGTAATGATCAAGCACGATTACAACCATAATAAGTAGACTAAAACACTTTACACTTATCAACCAAGTTGGCTATCAACAATAACAAGCAACACAACAACCTTACAAAAGGCACGCGATTTTTTTAAAGAAACCATTCTGTGGTTCAACTCAGCACAAATCACGACGGTGGAGTAACAGTGACTGAGAACAATAGGAACAAAGAAGTATGTTATGCCCCTTTTATTCAATCCGGTTTTCTAATATTTCAATAGGCAATCACAAAAGAATCCTAGAAAATCTGACTACCGTATTAATTGGATTAGGTGATATTATCTTATAAGCAAAAAACCTGTCTAAATGTAAGGTTGAAGGTGGTCTTATAAACCAGTTAATGTTTTACAATTTGAAATATTATAGGCTTTTTAGCTTATAAATATAGGGTATAAAGCCTATATAAATATTCTCTTATAATCCCAAAAAAAATCTTTAGTTAGATGAGAACATAGTCCATTAATCCAGTATGACTAATAATCAAATATTTCATTCTAATCCAATTAATATGGTACCTCTGACCGATCCAATTTTTGAACATCTACTACAATGGAAATCGAATCCGTAATTGATCAAGCAGATCCGCCCCCAACACTGAATACACTGCCACTAGAGGTTCGATTCAAGATCTTCAAAGAGCTACTCATCAATCCTGTTCTAGGAGAATTGAAATCTATTCTGGGAAACTATCAAGTCCAGGCTCCAAATGACGTTATCAAATATCACCTGCATCCTTGGATTCTCAGAGTCTGTCGACAGAACTACGAGGAAGGATGCGAGATCTTGTATTTTCAGCCATTTTTCCTATGCTATAACAGACAATTGTTAAATATGGGCCATCCGGAAGTGGATAAAAATACATTTACTCCTCTGTTGAGGTACGGTCCTTCATACCGCCAAAAAGGCCTGGATTGCGAAGAGATCAAAGTCATAACACAACCGGCATTTAAGAAGGTTCGACAATGGACAATAATCATTAGCTCGTACACGATTAGAAAGGCAATAAGACCGGAGTGGGAGCACAATCTGTTTTAATACTTCTGTGACCTCGTGTTCGGTGTCCCTATCAGACAGCTTGACGTCATACTATGGGACCTAGCCGTACCCGAATATGGCGAGGAACTTATGAAGCCACGACAAACTTTTCTGCCTTTGAAAATCCTTCGAAACGTAGGAAACTTAACTATTAGGGAGGCGGCACTGGATGAATTCCCACCACCACGAATTAATAGTCGCTTTTCGCAACGCGACAGCAAACTGTTGCTCTCTTATCCCGATAAGTCGAACCTCTTAGACAAGAAGTTATATAAAAAGCTGAAGCGCTTAGTCGAGGGTATTAGACCGGTCGAGAGGTAAGTTGTGACATTTGAAAAGTAACTTTACAGCGACAATAACTAACACAATTAGGCTATCTGAAATGCACAGACATCTCATCAATTTTGTACTGTCTTTCGAGAATTTCGCTCCATGGAAGCTAGACCTGAGAAATGTGGGTGAAGATATAATAGCAGTAGCTCATAGTGGAAAATGCGCCATTTTGCGGGCGAGAAAAGCGGTTTAATACAAACCACTGTATGGCTCATCATCGAAATTTTCTTGAGAAGGCGTTAAGAAAAGCAGCGAAAGCCTCGCTGAGTTTTGATAGTGTGGGATTCAAATCCGTCAGAGCGGACATTGTTAAGCATCTTCAGCCATAGTACAATCGCATTGTTGATGCTTCTCGTGTCTTGGTAGCTGCCATTGAAGAGGACAAAGACACCGACCGGGCTCTTAATTTAGATCCACGAGGAGGATACTTTCAGACATTTGAGGCTGCTAGACTAGTGATTTTGATCGAGAAGTATGCTGCAGCTTTCAAACGTGATCAGGATGAGAGGACTGAAATTGCGTTTCGGGTTAACAAGAGAGAAATAAAGAGTTTTCGTATGGATCACCCAAGAGAAATGATGCTTCGAAGACTAGACAGAGCCTTTGAGCATGAAAGATGTGACTTGCTTAAAGACGCGTTCAAAGATTTATTGTGTGATCTACAGGCTCAATTCTCAGAAATTAAGCAGACCTGGAGATATTTATTCAAAAGCGATACACATGGAAATACGATGTGTCGTACAGAGTATGATAGCGATAGTGATAGTTTGGATGGTATGATCGACTTGACAGTCTGATAACCAACTATCTGGTTCTGAATTGGCACATTCGGAAGGGTGTAAATTGTTATTGAAATAACGAGGACATCAAGGAAGCAGACACAAACTGTGGTCATGTAGGAGAATTTGCAGCCATTGCAACTTGAATCAGTTTATTTGAGCCTTTGAACTTTGGGTGAAATTATGGAAAGCTTGTCTTTTTTATGCTTTCCTTTCTTAGAGAGTTAGATAACAGATTAATCACGTTGTGTCAAGTGGTACCTTCTCCATTTATAAAAATTTTCCAAAATTCTCAAATAAGCTTTTTGTGAGAGTGCTTTCCTTGTAAATCAATAAAATGCATACTTTGCTATCATGGATTTCTCAACTTCTTCCTCCCGGCCATCCTCTTACGACGTTCTTCTTCTTGTCTTCTCAAATCCCTGTAAAAAGCCAATTCTGGATCCTCATCATCCGCTTCCTCATATTTGCTGACTTCTTGACGACTGTCGCTAGAAATAACCACAGGCTTCCTAGCTATGTTTTCCCTTGCCACGGGAGAGTCTGGCTCTATATCTCCACCAAAATCTAGTTCCTCAACTTCCACTTCCACACCTCTACTTGGCTGCTTCAAGTCAATACCCTCGTATCGATTCTCAGTCTGAGAAACTGAGCTGCTCTTCCTCTCCCTCCTTCCTGCGCTCAACAAATCCACATTTTCAAACTCCAAATTCTCTATCCTCTTCCCTACTTCGAGTCCTCTTAACCATCCTATTTCCGCCAGAAGTGCAATATGTTGTTGTTGCAAATTCCCTCTTCTCCTCTCAAATGCCGCTCCATCCCCTAGTACCCATTGCAATCTCTTCTTAACCGGGATATGTTCACCCTCATAAACCTCTTTTCTACACCCTTCCAAGAGTCTGCATATGTCCAAGATACTTTCTCTTACATCAATGATGATGCCATCTAATCTTTTGGAAGCAAATGGACTTTGAGAAAGATATTTAGTGTGTTGGGAACGGAGAAGAAGAAGATGATCTAGGTCAGTAGAAACCCGTTCCGTGAGGGAAAAACAGGTCTTAACGTCTGCTGGAGTATTTTTGATATCTTTGACGAATGCAGCGATGGTGATTGAGTGAGATAGAGCCTTGAATGGGCGAGTTAATATTTACAAGTGAAATTCAATAACCATATGATGAATGGGGGGCGCGTCGTTGTATGTGTATTGTGAGTTCCAAGAAAAATATGCTTACCCCAGCTACACTAGCTACAGCGCTAACAGTAATAGGGTCCGGCATAATCAGTCAACAGGAGAAGGATTGAAATAATTCTTGAAGATAGAAGATAGCTGTCGACAGCTTCTTGAGTTTAAAACAGTTTACAGCAGATATGCAATGATGGAGAAACGGGGAAAATGAGAAGTGATAAGATGCATGTGCGTGATCTAGATAGCTTATCAGCCTCTGCCACACTTGATACTACTCAGCCTCAAAAGCCTTCTGCAGCTCCGCGGCTAATAAGTAGCTAGTCTGACTCTTGACAATGTATCACTATTGTGGATCTCAAAATTCTGTAGTACCCTGGCCGGAAACCCTGAACCATTTGTCTAGGTGAGCCTAACACATCTATGGAGCCTCATCTTCTCAGTTTATGACTAGCATCTAATCCTCTATATGATGGAGCACTCATGGATTTTGTTTATTGATTAATATTAATGCTACATACTCCTTTCAAAGTATCTCTAATATCGATCCCCTCAAATAGTTTCCCTCTCCTGCTCGCAAACAACCCTCCGGCGTTCTTTTCCGTCTTTATTAATCACCTCCTCTAAACTAGGGAATACAACAATTTGGTCCTTGGTATTCGATTCAACACCTGTACTTGTTTGCCAACCAAACAGCCAATTTCCTGGTTGTGCCAACAACAGCAATCCGAATTCCCTCCCTTGATAGATGATCGAGGCGAGATTGTCGAATTGTGAGCTTTTGCTACTGGGTTTTATGAAAGGCTGGAGTATTGAGTTGAGAAGATTGACTACTCTTGCTATTGATGCGTCTTTGGATGCGTCTTCTGGAGATTTCGATGAAGATATGTGACGTGTAGATAGTTCTCGCACTCGGGATAGTACATTTTCGTGTGCTGCTGAGAAAAGTTTAGGAATCACTCTATAGAAAAGACAAGAAATTTTATGACAAAACGCGTTGAAAAATAGAAAATGCATACCATCTTGTTTGTTCAATTGCTTATTATCCTTCAAAGCTGAACGATAAAAGCTTGTGATCTCATCGGGCAACAATGAATATTCAGAACCACTGTTTAGCTCTACCCCCCTCAAAATGACCCATGCGATAAGACTTTTGATTGCTGTCTGGCCCTCACTAGAATTGCCTAGTAGTGATCCAAGCGTAGAAATCGTAGGCTCAGTTCGCTCCGAATATCCACATTTCCTCAACGTCGCCGCGAGATCCTGAGATGTTCCAGTACGTGATCCGGTAGTATAGTGATTTTCGACATGCTGGTAGATTAATTCTCCAAGATTTTGCATTTGGTGCCGTAATTGACTATCATCTGCTCGTTCAGCAATCACATAGCTTTGCATTTGTGTCTCAGGATCTTTTGATATTGCAACGCCATGATCTGTAGTGGGATTTCTTTTGCTGTATCCATTTTCGGAGCTCCAGGGTGTTTTCGATGCTCGTTTTCTCCTAATGTAAAACCAAAGACCAATGGAACTGAGAATTGCAGCAGCAATGAGAGTACCTATCACGATACCAGCGATGGCCCCTCCGGAAACTGAAGAGCCATGGTGACCAGTCGCGGTTGAGTTTGCGGGTCCAGTAAAGGTTGGAAAGGCTGACGAGGTCGGCGTTGAAGAGGTTGATAGAGTAGTTGCATCCGTGGTAGGGCTTGCTGTGGTAGAGCTAGCTGTGGTAGGGCTTGCTGTGATAGAGCTTGCTGTGGTAGAGCTAGCTGTGGTAGAGCTAGCTGTGGTAGAGCTAGCTGTGGTAGAGCTAGCTGTGGTGGGGACTCCCGATGCAAGACTAGCACCAGAAGGATTGGAAGAGGTCGTACCTGAACTTGACATGATTGAATTGCATGAACATTTGAAAACCAAATTCAAATGCCAATCTTCAATTCCCAGATCGACAAGAAAACAAAGAGCAATCTCTGGGGGAATGGCACCGCGTGAAAATCATGAGGCTCTCGGCCTTAGAGCGCAGCGCCGCCTCATTGATTGGTTTGGACATGGGACGGATGAAGTACCAAGATTAATCGGTGGGTTTCCTATCTGGAGAGGAGACTCCACAAAGTTCATGTAAGCAATCTAATTTGCGTTACATTGCATGACATTGAATTGATCTGTGCCGCAATCCGTCTCCATTCATGAGTGGTTCTTCAATAAGTATTGGCTTAATTATTTTGGGGTCCAAAGCTACTGCATGACCCTTGTCATTCCTAGAACTTTTTCCCTTCATCCGGTCACAATGTTGCCATATTTGCAGATTTATCTTTGGGTACTAACTGATATTTGAATCGCTAAGAAGCACATAAATAAGATCAGTCTGACAGGTGTTTTGCAAAGGTCTTGCCCTGGCACGGACAAAATAAGTTCCACACCAAGGAAATGTTGGGGGCAATTTTACAATAAATCCCACAATCAAATGCTTTTAACGCTCCAATTCGAATTTAAAAATCAAATAATTCTGATATTCTGGAATAGATTAGAGATTCGAATACATTTCATACTCTGAATTGGTGTAGATGTTCGAAAATATATTTAAAAATCACTTTGTGTGATTTAGGATTTATCTTCTCCATGCGGTGTTTGGTTCTTTAGCCTCCACATTTACTTACTTTGTGGTGGCATGAACATACATGAGTATGACAGTCTGGAATAACAGAATCAGGCAGGGATAGAAACGACGAAGTTAACAGGCTGATAAGATTGCGGTCGAAAGATCACTCATTGGCTAATCACCTAATTAAGAATGTAAATCTGGGGGCCGGATTTATGGTGACATTGTCAATAGATTACAAATTACCTGGTTGATGATTACTTTTTTGGACATGGAGCATTGAAAAAATCGAATTATCCATGATGATTATGCTGTGAATTTAATGAAACTCTTAGAAACAGGTACATCTTACTCATAATCAATCAATCTCTTCTTGATCAAAAATTCCCAATTTTCGATCCTTTTCGATTCCTCCCGGGGAAATTTGCACGCACAAGGAAGAGAGACATCTTCAGTCACGATGGCTCCCTTCGATGATAACGCTCCGGATATCATTGTAGGGATCGATTTTGGACAGACATACACTGGTAAGTCTAGCAACACACTGAGCATACACGAAATACTGAACACAACTTCTAGGAGTTGTATGGTCAAACTTGAGCAATACGAATCCCACGAAAAGTATTCAAGAATGGCCCGGACTACCTCCAGACTCAGTGGAAACAAAAGTTCCAACAACGATTGCATATTCAAGGAACTCAAATGGTAGACATGAAACCGTCTGGGGATTCTCATGTGATCCCGACGATGAATATCATGAATTTGCAAAAGTACATGAACATTTTAAGATCTACTTAGATCAACATAGTTTGGATTTAGCTCGGAAGGGGGGTGTAAGAGATATGCCCGAAACTGTTGACGAAGCAAAATATCTCGTGACAGATTTTTTAAACCAGATTTACAAGCACATCAAACTTTGTATCGAAGCTATCACAGGGAGTTGGAAAGAGAAGAGAATCGAGTTTGTCTTTAGTCTTCCCACCACCTGGGATGCTTTGGACACGGTTAATAGATTCAACGAAGCGATCAATGCGGCTGGCTTCACGTCTCAAAATCCGGATAAGCATTCGGCGAAATTGGAATTGACCGAAGCTGAAGCGGCAGCTGTTTATTTTGTGACAAATTCCGAAATTGAACTTGAGAAAGGAGATATCATTCTCATTTGTGATGCAGGTGGAGGAACGACCGAGTAAGTCCTAGCTCAAGTTCAGATATCGATGCACTGTAGTGTATTAAGTAATAGTCGTTAATTGCCTCTCTCAGCCTTGGTCTTGTCGAAGTAGCGGATCCAAACCCTCAAAGGCCAGCATTGAAGCAGGTGGCAGAAGTTAAGGGTGTTGGTATCGGATCGACAATGATTGATCGAGCATTCGAGCGTCTCGTACAGAATCGATTGGATGCGAATCCCGATATAGAACTTCCAGATAATCTAGCACATAAATTAGCTAGAGGTTCGTCCTTTCAGTCCATTAAACATAACTTCGGAACTACTTCAGGTAATCATGCTGTATATATATTACGACTCGATAAACTGGGAATCGGGATTGACAAAGATCTAACTCACCCGGGACTTCGAATTGAAAAAGGTAGAATGCAATTTTCAAGGTGAGTGTATGAACATGTGAGGCGATCAATGCTAACAAAACATAGATTCGAAATACAATCTCTGTTTGACGTGCAAATATCTGGTATAATACGTAAAATCGATAAACAACTGGATTGGATGCAAACGCATAGAAGCCTTGATGATGTGGTAAGTTATTCTGAAATAGAAATGAGATATTGGCTAAAATTTATAGAAATTTCTTGTCTTGAGTGGCGGTCTTGGAGGTTCACAATATGTAAAGACCAAGATTGAAGAGTACTTTTATCGAAATCCTCGCCAGATAGCACATCGTATAAGGATTCTAAAATCTCAAGAGCCACGGCTTTCAGTGGTAAAGGGATTGGTGATAGATAGAAGGCAAAGAATCAAAGTTGGATCGGCGACTCTGAAAACTAGAGTGTTCGTATCTCAAACATTTTGCTTTTCGTATGACGGCAATACTGACACAATGAGAAACACAGAGCAAGAGCGAGTTACGGTGTCTTGTGTCGTCAGGAATACAACCCCGCAATTCATGTAGGAGAGACCATCATAACCGATCCTTACAATAAGAAACAGAAATGGGCAACGATGCAAATTGACTGGATTATAAAAAAGGTATAGTGAATGAAAATTTCCACAAACCAACTCCCAATTCTTACAATTATCAAGGATGACACTATCGAGACTGATTCTGCTCGAGACCGACTTTTCACGAGGAAGATTATTCCGGGAGACAATAATCGAACATGGGATACAACCATTGTAATTTCCCACGAAGATCGTAACAATCTACCCACGAGTTTCAGACACTGTGAGTTCCAATCGCACCAGCATAAATATAGAATATTAACAAACAGCTGCAGCCAATGTCTCAAAACTGTGCACAGTGCACTCGGATTTGAAGGAAGTCGATGAGGAAGAATTTGAACCGAAGAATCGAAAGCTCTGGCAACGAAAGAAATACTATCTCGCCACCTTTACCGTGCGAGTAATAATTGCACCAGCAGATTTAAGGTTTGAACTATGGTTCAAAGGGATGAAATATAACAGAAGTCATGAGCCGCTATCAATAGATTGGGATCCCGCGGGAGCTTCATTGCGTCCACCGTCAATTGATAGTCCAGTGGATGGATGGGAAAGTCGTGTGCAATTGTAGGGGAGTTTATTGTGTAACTATTATAGTCACCAATTCCAACGTATATAGAATAACTTATTAATAGTGTGTTGTTACTACTTAAATAGTGTCTCTGTTTGGGGACGATCCATGGATGTTGCAAAGTGAAAGCCACAGCCAAGCACAATTGTGGCTGAAGCTTTTATTGACTTCCTTCACACGGATGTCAACTAAGCAGACAGCATCAAATGAAAATCGAATCCATCAAAAATTGTAGGGGTCCGACAACAAAGCTTCAGTAAAATAGGACGCTAGATGGTCCCTCCTATGTATGTACTGAATCATATTCAAAGCTATATACACGATGATTCTAAGCGTCTCAATCACGCTACCCCTGCCAATTATATACAAAATTACATCCTTGCCCCTCTAGTCTAAACATAAGCAATGGTTACCGACTTATCAGTAACACTAGACTTCGTTAGGACAATATTCGAGCTAGTCTCAATATCCAAAATTACGGCGCGAGATGGTATGACCGTTTTGGAAGCAGTAGTAGCGACTGCATCGGAGAAAACAACGCTTCCATAGTTTGCGAGACCGATATTGCTAGAATCAACGCTCAAATCCTCCATGATCCATTCAGCACTAACACCACACAGAGTATTCGCCGAGGAAACGGTCTTGGTGTACGATTTCCCTGTGGATTTATTTTCCATAACAACGGTTCCTTGGTTCAAGCCGCTAGTGGTGATATTTACGGAGATAACCTGGAGCTGTTAGTTTGGTTCCTGCATCGCGGTAATAAGACAGGGAAACTTACATCTTCAGCTGTGAGAGTACCCAACTCAATAACTTGAGTTGCGGCGGGGTACCATTCATACCAAGCATAATATGAAACTTCGCCCGTCGATTTCTCAATTGTGGCATCAACACCTGCTTGCCAGAGGTTGTTACAATTGTATCCATCAATACCAACCCAGGTAGAAGCCGTGAAGTCTGATGCTGAGGTCTCTCCTGTAGTACCAACCTGTGGCTTGGGTATCGAAAAAGAAGCAGAAACACCAGTATAAACAGCACCAGTAAGAACGGCACCAGACCAGCTCTCATTATAATATTCAGAACGAGCAGCGTTCTTGTTTCGCTGAGCAAGTCTTTGCTTGGCATTGAGCTTCGTTGTTGGTGCTGCAACAGCCGAACTTGCAAGGAGAGCAGCGACAACAATTGAGTACTTCATGTTGATAGTTGGTAATGATTATTTCAAGGACAAAGACAGATAAAAAAGTAAAGATTTGAAGCAGCTTGCTTTTGAGAAAATTAAAGAACAGAACGAATGAATATAACTTGCAAACCCGTCAGATAAATGATAGACTTCAAAGCAACTTGGCTAAGCTCAAGTTATATAAGACAAGACACCTTTCTCAACCATCATATCACCATGCAATTGTCTAATCTGTAATTTCATGAAATACGGTACATACTCACAGAGCAGTACGAATTCTTCTAATTTCCATATTGCAATGGAAATTATGGAAGACTGGTAGAACTTCGTTTCAGTTTCATATGGATTATCTGCGAGGAGATTCAACTGCCGATTACCATTTAGTAAACGGCTTTCAGTAAAATCAGTGGGATCAGTGGACCCATCATATCATGGATGACACTCTGTCTCAGATCTTATGGTGTACACCATATGAGAATCAAACTCTAAAATCTGGAGAACTGTTGCTCATCTATTCCGCAAGCTGGATGTATTGCCAAGTGCACTTAGAACTGGCAATACAATTCGCGGGAGGTGATTGTGTGAATGTCAGGACGTCTTGTGAATGTCATGGTGAGATACTTTCGTGAGCAAAGTGAGTGAAATTCAAACCAATCCCGCTTACTTAATACAGAGGAAGCAAGGGGCTACGTTTCGATTGGTCTAGAACGAATCAGAATTACTAGGTCCTACGTAACAAACGAATGAAATGAGATGTCAGCCTTGTCAAAGTTAACTTTACAAGGCTGTAGATACAAACAATACCATCGACTTGCATGATAGATTGTGATCATCAAGAAATGTACACAACATATACAGACAGCAACAACATTCAATGATACGCATGGAATCTTTGAACTGCATGTTAGACGTGATACCGCATGACAATTGCATGATTTTTGACGACCATCACGAATTCTCTGCTATGAGCCAATAATTTCGAGCTCATAACAAACCCACCTGGTTTTATTCGGCAATTCAATGAAATAACGACGAAATCACTTCCAAACTTACAGACCTCTAAGCCCACGATTGTTGAGGCTCACCAAAAGAATCTCATTCTAAATCGTAGAGCAAAATGACATCCTCATCAACATCCTCCTCACCTCCACCACCCGACCCTGACGAGTACCTATTTCAATCACACTCCCTAACGCCGCGACCACATTCTCGGCCCAGCTCGTCCTCGTCCTCCGAATCCCCCTCACCACCCCCTCTCCAACACAATTTCTTCGCCCCCCCCTTCTACAACCGACCTCCTACACCTCTCCCCCCCTCCCCCTCACTAACCAGTCTCCTCCGACCCTCTCGCCCCACCACCCCCGATTCCTCCGCCGATGAACTCGAGCCGCCCGTCCCGCGGGCTTCCCCCAAAGTTCCAACCTACGAATATTACGGTTTCGTACTCTATCTTTTCTCCTCTCTCACCTTCCTGCTCTACCTTCTCTGGTCCTACCTCCCATCGCCCTTCCTACACGCGCTAGGAATCTACTACTACCCCAATCGCTGGTGGTCTCTCGCGTTACCGAGTTGGATCGTTATGCTCCTCGTATATATTTATGTTGCACTCGCGAGTTATAATACCGGATATCTTACTCTAGGTATGAGTAATGTGGAGACGATTATAGATGGCGCTGCGAATGTGTGTTTAGTTGATGGGAGGGGAATGGCGGGAGCGAGTCATGCCAGTCAGGAGGAGAATGCTAGAGAGAAAGATAGGAAGAGAGGAAAGGAGAGGGAAAGGGCTACGGGCTATACTGGAGGAGGGAAAGAGGCGGATGTGAGGGCATGGAAGAAAGTTTGGAGTCGAGGTACGGATGCTGTCATGGATGTCCCATTAGGTGGTGTATGTGAAATACTATATGGAGATGGAAGGGAAGATCGTGAGATGGACGATGATGATTATTATTGAGCTTACAAAGAAAGGAGGCGGGCGAAAAGCAATCTATACCCATATTTGTCGTATTTTTAGTCCTTAAGTATAATGATATCTAATGAACACAATTTTGCAAGATGCCATGCGCGATTTCGATCTCAATCATTGGACCAGAGCATCTGCCTTCTATCATTACTTCAATCTTATTACACGGATTACTCATACATGACACGATGAAAACTCTAATGTAATTCCAAGAAAACAGGTATCTTCATCCCGTTGTTTGTACAAGATTGGCCTCCGCTCTATACTCTCCCAAAACCTAGCCCGTATTACCTCTATGCCTTCCACTTGCATAAACGAGTTGAGCAAATTATCGAATCAGCTCACACTCACCCAGGCACCCACCCGTCAAAACTACACATCCACTATCCCTTTTCCTCCTTTCCATCATCAAATCATCTCCCATCAATAATGCTAAAAGGCCAATCAAAAAGTTATCAGCAGATTCACTTTCTGCCAAATCAAGAAAAATAAAAGTATCATCTAAACTACAAAAACATTATCTCATCTTTCATCTCATCTTAACACATGTCGTTTTCCACCTAGGATTGGAATATTTCCTCCAAATTTATCGATCCCTACTTTCTACTCCCAGATCATGAAAGTACAACTCGGCTGAAGTATGCCCTTCTGCCACACGAAAACAACCCCTAACTGTGCGAGAAGATATGTTGATTGGTGAAAATGCAAAGAGAATGCCAAACAAATCAGAGAACATTCATATGTGAGATGTAATGCATATAACATTCAACCTCATCCCTCCTTTCGACCATCCGTTCATTGATTCCAAATATCCATGCAGAAGACGTATATGCGTTTCATCTCAAATGGAAAAATTAGAGGAAAAATATTGAATATGGGGTATTATCACAAATTAGCGCGCAAAAACTTTTACGACGCCATCACCTCCACCACTAACGATCCATCTCCCATCTTGACTCCATACAACTGAGCATACACCTTCCCCACGCATAAGTCTATGACTTGTCATCTCTTGAGTGCAGCTACGTGTCTCTAAAGACCAGAATCGTAGACTAGCATCATGACCTGCAGAGACGAGCTCGCGTCCATCAGGAGATAGTGAGAGAGCAGATATAGCTGCTGGATGAGCAAGCATGTTGTATGTGCATTGACCTAAATTAATTAGTCATGGATTGTCGGTGAGGTTAGGGGGTAACTTACCGCTATTAGCATCATAAAATCTAATGAAGCGATCCTCATGTCCACTGATGATAATGCCTTCAACACCACCACTTCTGCCTGTTGCTCCACTAACAACATTCTCATCTTCAGACAACCCTCGATTAGAATCGGAACTCAAGGAGCTATCAAGACCGGTAGTAGTTGCAACAATTGCATTGACTCCTGTTGATTGGGTGCCATTAGATGTTTCCAGACTTGCCATAGAGGCAACTTCTTCACCAGTTCTTGTATCATATACCAGAACAGCTGCGTCAGAATAAGACACGGCAAATGATTCGCCTGAAATGGCTAAAGGTGTTATACAAGTAGGGGATGCGGTGCTATTAGATCTGGTTATAGAATGTATTAATGTGTAATGAAAAGGCGAAGTCGAGGCAATGCTGGGTTGAGGGGATGACGGGAATGCTGAGCCAGATGACATTGAGTTACCTCGAACTCTGCCACCTCTTCGGTTACCTCCGCCTGAAGGCGATACAAGCTGTGGAGGTGCGCTTACAGACCACACTTTGACAGTGCCATCTGCAGCACCACTTGCTAAAATAATACGATCTGGTCCACCAAAAGCATTAGTTTGACCAAAAATCGATCCAGTTGTACCCGGAAGTACACAGACTGCCCATACTGCATCTGTATGACCATCAAGAGTCGCCTTAGGATCAACTCGCCCTCGCTCCCACACTCTAACGGTAGCATCTTGGCCACCAGAGAAGATCCATCCGTCACCTTGTGCACGTCCACCACTGGCAAAGTTTTGTGATGGGGACCAAGCAGTTAGGCACATGACAGCTCCAGCATGACCCCGATGAGTAAAATAACTTTGAATATCCAAATCGTTGGCGCTTACATGGAATGTGCCTTGATCTTCATAACGGGCGGGAATGATCCATCTTTTGATTGTACCGTCGTCGCCTGCTGTGCATAATTCTGGTTCTCCAGGACTTCCACCTCCAGTAAATATCACCGAACGAACTGCATCTAGGTGGCCTCTAAGACCGAATCGAACTTTGAAACTACCACTGTCCGGCCTTTGTGTTGGATTCAATGAAAGTTCATGTTCACCACTCTTCCTTCTTGACATGGAGGTTTTTCTCCTATGTGAGCCTGGACCACGAATAGGCGATTTTGGTATATCTTGAGCTGATGGAAATACGTCTGTATCAGGTCTCTGGGGCGCAATCTTATTCTCTTGTTCTGTAGTTTGAGTTGGCTCATTGAAATCCCATCCATCGGTATCAGAAGAACCTGATTTCTCTATTGCTTCTTCCGCTTCAATGGGCCGTCCATAGGAGTCATAAGAATGGTTAACTTTTGTTATGGGCTCTTCCGCCGGTTGAGTTTTCTCTGGAGATCTAAATGTAGAAGACCATTCTTGTTGCGAAGGTTGTGGTAGAGGTAGTTGCTCTGCTAAAAACCTTGGCGCTGGATTATCGGGACTTGGTACAGAATGTTTATTGGGACTTGGGACTGGTGGTGGATTATGATTAGGTGTCGGAGAAGGTGCAAGGGGAGCTCTTGATAATTCTGGTACTCTCATGACTTTTGATCCAGAGTATCGCTGTTGCATTTCTTCGATATTTTGCTGCTGAGCTTGACTAACTCCGAAAGGTAGAATCTCTTCCGGTGGCGGTGGGGCTTCTCGTGGTGGCATAGGATTTGGTGGTGCGATCAAGAGATAAGTGAGCTCTCCTTGAGATTTATCCATAAAATCTTTCATGTTACCTTTCTCCGCTTGAACCGCCTTTTTCGCATCGGGTTCCCCGTCAACCACGAGGAATGAGTTATGTGCCTCTCTTTTAGTTGCTACATCTATTAGTTTTAAATAGACACAGGATTTTCAATTGACTTACGACGCGAATCTTTATCCTTGGTCTCTTTATTTGCTGGCACCGGCGCTGTACCACCAGATTTAATCGCTTTCAATTGTGCCTCTCGATCCTTGGCCACTCTCTCCAACATTGTAAGGAATTTCTTCAAACTCTCATTTGACCCTTCAAGTTTTCTAGTATTGCCCTCTAATTTGGCGATCCTACTTTTCATTTCTTGTCTTTCGATCTCCCAAGCATTTCGTTCCCTCTCATGTCGATGCCACTCAGTTTGCAAGAATCGCATAACACCTAAGTGCGAATTAGTTTAACCACCAGGACAAAACGACTAAGCGCATACCTTGCAGTGTATATTCTGTTCCTTGAGGCTGATTTGCTTGATTCCCTCCATCACCTACATTACCAACTCCATTATTTTGACCTCCACTACCCCCCATACCAGATAGAGACTGCCAGGCCATCTCGTTCCCCAGGCCCAGGCCAGTCCCTCTTTTATAACCTAGAATCCGCCTTGTGCGCTAATTTCGCATCCAAATTCGAGGACCCGATGAGCATTTGTTAATCTTGGTTGGCGCAAGATATGTTGAGTGGTCGCCAAAGACAACGAGGCCTTAATTTTTCTCCAGTAAACTACCAATGCTCAATTGAACATCTTTGCGCACAGAACTGTTTAAGATAATCAAGGTACAATAGAGGTCAATAGACTGAGATTTGTAAATCTATAAATCTTTGATGATGCGTCTGTACAAGTTTGTCGCGTAAGTGAAACGTATGACATTCAAAATCATAAGAAGGAAGTCTGAAGGAGGGCGTTTCTTTCCAAATAGAGATCGTGAGCTACCAACCAAGCCAACTATCCAATTCTAAACAGATATCCATGTGTCAGGCCGCTTTTAAGGCCATTATAAATGCTTTGCCTGGGGTATTGTTGTCTTGGGAGGTGTAGGTGACGCCGCCTTTAACTTAAAGTGGTCATAGCTCCTGTGGTATTTGAGTTTTTGGGGTCTACGGATAGATACAATCTAAAAGAGACCCCTCGAACCTTAAGATTCAAATGGATTTTATATTTGCCTTCGTGTTGATCTGTTGATGAATGTCTATGGAAGACTCATAGATCAGTTGCCACTGTATGTTATTGCTCACACTTATCGATATATCGAGTCACCATTCGAAAAACCAGCACAATATGATACTTCAATTTGTAGCAACAAGACAAAACATTCTGATACCCGCTATTGGTGTTGTATCAGCCCTAATGACCATATTGACATCAGACAATGCACATGCTCATCTAACGCGTTTCATAGGGATAACTTTGATATTGGTGTTCTAACACGAGTGCAGCGAGCTGGGGGGGTTAGGAGGCTTGCATAAGAGGAAAAAAGGCAAAGTGTATGTGCATCCCTGTCATACAAAAAGCAAGTGTTTGAGTGCGGTTATCGTTGAAGGATTCGTAGATATCCTTCATGTACATTCATATATGCATCCCTCGAAGATTAACAAAGTCCAGCCTTTCCAGCCTGGATCATAACGATCATAGATATGACGTGCAAAATCCAAATCCTCACCCTATCGCTCTCAAGGCTAGTAAAGACATAATCGATGCTCATACCCGTACTCATACACATAACCATACCATTTCCTTCCTCAAAATTCCAACTCCTCGACTTCCATCCCGCACTCTATACAACTCTTTACGCTCATTCCATCTTCGTTCTCCACCGTTTGACCCCATTCATGTTCATGCTTCCCATTACTAATCGCATCTCCAAACTTTCCACCCTTTCCATCGCCCGCTAACGCCCTCCTATATGCTTCGGTTCTCGTCTTTTTCTTTAATTCTTTCAATTTACTCTTGAACTTTTCTTCTTTTCTCTTCTTCTTTTCTGCTTCTCTTTTTTCAAATTCTGCATCTAGTGCTTCTGCACTCCCCCACTTCGTCTTAAAGGCATATTCCTCCACTTGATATCGTAGGAACAACATCATATCATGCCAATGTGATTTGTGCGGATTGGGCTTATTGAGATGCGGTAAGAGCTCTCCATCTTTCAATTCCGCTACAGAGAATATTAGTACAAGCACATCATCATGTAGAAGGTATGAAACTTACGATCTGTGATAAGATAATCCTCCTTTGCCTCCGTTTTAGTTAACAAACTATATTTCTCTGGAAACTTCTCCTTACACCCATTACAAACCCTACACTTGAAAACCTCATCCCACACAAAATCGATCTCTAAACTTTTACACTCCCGGCACTTCTTATTATCCCCTCCAAGCACACTCAAACTAGGTTCAAACGGTCCCTCTTTCCTATTTCGCAACCCTTTCAATAGCTGATGTCTTTCCCATTCCTTGAGTGTCATGTGCGCAGGTTTATCTCCATCTTTCGATGCATGTAAAGCCTTATTCCATGGATCATCTTCTTCAGCTAAGAATCCACCTTTCGTATCCGTCATCTTACTAAAATCATGATCAACGTATTTCCGAAACTTCCGCGCGGCTTGCAGTGAGGAATCATTGGCTCGCGCATCTTTTGCAGCTTGGCGCGCATCGCGAGAAGTGGCGGGAATTGTTGAGGTTGAAATAGAAGAGTGAGTGCGTTTTTGGCCGGCCAGGGTTATATCGGGAGTAGCAATAAAACCTGAGGGAGTACGATTGATATCATTTGTGGAGGACGCTTTCTCACGAGCTATAGATTGTTCGCGAAGTGCTTTAGCCTTGAGTCTGTTTTCTTCCTAATGATATAACTTAGTAAATGAGAAGTCAAATTGTCTGAACGGCTGCCTTGTACTGACTATTCTTCTTTTCACGTCGGGTGTTGGCGGTGATGTAACTTGAGATCTGGTTCTTCTAGCAGGTGGGGAAGTATTCGATCTTTCCATAATGTCAAGCTCTATAAAATATGGCGACAATGAAATTCTTGAACTTCCATGTAATTAATAAAGTAAATTTGTAGCAAGGCTGAACTCTGGAAGTGGCGATAAGTTTAAAATGTTCAGCCTCGGTGTTCTCGGGCTGCGCTAAAGCTAGATTCGTCATTAATACTTTTAGACCACAAGGTGAATGTATTGAACCACAAAAAATTACCTAGCTTTGAGGACTCAATGAAAAATAATGGATGATGGGTTGATAGGGTATAATGTAGAAAGTATTGATGGCATTGAAGGGTAGTTTCCGTTTCCATCTACTTGTCTCTATGATACAAACGAGATAAAAAATCTCTTGCCCGTCCATCCCCCAGTTTTACCGCCCCATGCCCCTGGACTTGAAGTCCAATACCCAGTTCTCCGATCCCCCAGTCTTTGAAAACATTACATCGTGCATGTCTGATGTTTGAGCATCTATTCGTCCTTAACACCTCCACGGCCTGCCTTCTCAGCAGCTTCAATAGACTTCTTGTCTTGTGTTGTGGAAGCTCCTCCTTGAAGACTGCTCATCAAACCAGCTGGTGCCTTAAATGGTCTCTTCATGTCTCCAGTGGCTGGCTGTCCGAAAAGATGAATCTTAACCATGTTACCCTCGAATGCGCCCTTGAGTGGAATAATAGATTGAATCATGAGAGGGTTGGTGTATTTGAAATACAAGTGCATAACAGCCATCATTCCAACACCCATCAATTGTGCCTTGTAGAGTGCCTTCATTTGATCGCTATCATATTTGTGGACGGTAGTGGTAACAAGCTTGGGTTCTTCTGCGGACCCCATTTGGGGTTGCTCAACGTATTTGAGAGTAGTCATATCTATAAAATTAGCCTATTAGTATCTGTAGTAGCTATGCGCAATGAGTTGGGCTACATACCCTTCTTCTTGTTGATTAAAAACTGAGTATAAGCGTAAACGCCTGCGATGATGATGTTGGATAGAATGTAAATTCCACGGACAATGTTCAAAACGTTGGGATCCTCAAGAGGAACACGTTTAGAGACTTGCATCATCCCAAGGATGATGATCAAGTTGGTTCTATTTAAATCGTCAGTAACAATCTCAAGAGAAACAAGAAGACGGAGTTTCGGGAAAGTTGTTCATACACTTGAGGACTGATAGCCATTTTGTCTTATTTAGAGATAGAAATCGGTATAATTTGATCGGGATTGATTAGGAGATCGTAATTGAATACGACCAGATGATACTTTAGAGAGATATCAATAAATAGACAAGAGTTGTTGGTCTCTTTCTAGACTTGATGTTGCACTCTTTAAAGAAATTGACAGATCCCAAGAAATATATTTGAAAGAGTGGAAAGAAGACAATCGTCGCGATTAGAAGCGGCGGCCCTAAGCTGTACTGTGCCCGAAGCTTGCCTAACAAAGTCTAGACCCTTGTCAAAGTGGCTGAGGACAGATTTGATTTTATGTTTCACTAGCCATCTACGTAACGTCGTCGCCATATTGATAATTCTCTGTGTATTCTCGAATATCACGAACCAAAATGCATACGATAGGTAATCAATACAAGATGTCTAGTTATGCCCTTGTTGTATTGTTTGATTTCAACTTAATCAATCACGAGATCGAACACGCAGCTATAGAAATAAATATAACAAAGCTCAATTTCAGTTATCAGCACAAGAAGAATGAAGTTCCGAGCCAATCTTCATGTTTTCTGTCAATTCAATATACAAATCGCTTACATATACAATAAGCAATGACTCAAGTGAGTCTCAATCCTACAGCGAGTGCATCAAGTGCTTCTATCGCAAGGAAACTCTTCCTTGTTTCCTCGCTATTCCAAACTTGTCCACATCTTCTAGAATCCCTTGGTGTTCTAGGTCCTCGTAAATTTCCCTTTTCCATTTCTTCCTTCTCCTGCTCCTGTCGAGAAGCCTCAACCTCCAATAATTGAACCAAGTTCTTTGTCGAAGCTGAATGTGGCAAAGGATGATGCTCAACTTCATCTGCTGGAATCCTGCGGGTAACGAGTTTCCTTTTCGGCTGAGGATTTGGTGGCACTAATGTAGATATGTCTACAAGTTCTGTGCATTTTGCTTCCTCGTCAATCTGCAAAGCCCCCCAAGAAGACGTACCATTGAATCTAAAACTATCATGGTTTTCTCCGTCGCTTCTCTGTTGGGCGTTGTCGATTTGAGTGTCTCGTTGGGGGCTTGAATAATTCAATATTGTTTGTGATGTGGTTATGGCCATACCAATATCGTGGTTCAGGTTTGATGGTATGTATGGTTGATATGGACCATAGTTCGCATTATATACCGGAGACGGAACTCTCTCTATTGCAGGCTTGCCGACTATTGTCTCACGGTTTGAAGTCTTGACAGATACCTCTTGGGGAGCTTGGTCGAGAATCTCAGGGGTTAGCTGTACAGGTAAGAGTGGGTTCTGCGAGAGAGTTTGGTCTTCGGCGCCTGATGTCCGCGCGGCCTTAATGGATATAGGAGGACGTTGAGAACCCTTCCTGGTGTCGCTAGCGGGAAACGTCAGTTTGATTCTTGTCTCAGTCAATATTATATCGCGTATATCTGAGAACCTTGTGATCTGATCTTCACATACCTGAAAAATGGTGCTTGTTTGCTACGAACACCACCAGGGCTACGACAACGCAGCTTTTGTAGAAAACGTGGCATTTGACGTATTTTAACACGAAAAGGATTCAAGACTTTCAAATCCTTGATACGGGGACGATATTGTAGACAGCTTCGCCAAATTGAACGCGAGTCTACTCTTTCATAATAAATTTGATGTGAACCACGATTAGGATTGATGATATTGAACGTTTGTGGGTCGTTCATATTCTTAGGAAGGTGAAATTGCAGTGTGTATTGTTACAAAGGGGAAGAATATAGCGAACGATTCTTCTAAACACATTGCCAACCTATGATTCAATTATTCCTCAGAATCACACATGTTAATTAACTAGTCATAACTCAGCGATATGGAGCATGAGATTTATTACTGTCAAGTTACCGTCACATTTATTCGTCTTATGTTTCGACGATGGCATTCTTTTTATTCGAAGTAGTTAAGCTAATGACAGTGTTTGAGTGTATAATCTGGCAACCTGGCGGTGTCATGAAGCAGTTTGGTACTATTTCCACACCTTATCATCTTTCTACAAGACGACAATTACCTTACAATAAACAATGCCATCCATTCCCCAAATCACAATCTTGAAACCTGTTTGTAATTTCTGGAGTTCCACCCCTCTAAAAAGGATACCTTGATCGTAACTTTTAAATCTTTGCAGCAGCCAGGTAAATCACCCCATAAGTTGTCACCTTGCAATCAGCCCAGTAACCGAGGAAAGATTGACATTAGCATGATATGATGTTGGAGCAATTTGCGCTCATCATTTCAATTTGACACTACGGCTCCCGTTTTTAGATTCTGAGATATTGAGAAAGGGGAAGCAGCTGGAAGATAATCACGGTCAAAGTAAAACAAATCTAGATTTAAACATTCACAGTCTTGCATAGCTGTATGAGTAATTTTCACGGGTAATTGTTAAGAAGCTCGCATTTTACTATCTACTCATTATGTAGGTCAAAGCTGACAAATGCATTCTAGGAATCATCTGTCATTGATCACACACAGAACTTCGACTGTAATGAAAGGGAATATACGGCTCCATTGAGCCCTGCCTTCTGGCCTTCAAGGCTCAAATACCAGGCTTTATCTCAGTCCAGCTGAGAAATGGTTGTGAATCTGAGAAATAATATGTATTCCTTCCCCCAACATATCAACCCTCAGTCCAGCTGAGACAGGAACATTCGTTAGCAAAAGGAAATAGAGAAAGAAAAGAGGAATCGACAAACGAACAATTGTAGCGCATGTTCTGGAAGGGTTGACGTTGTTGAGACCCGAATATCGAGATGATGGATGGTATTCAGAAGTTGGACATTGGACATAGGTGGACGAAACATAATAGCTAGGATTAAGAGTATCCAGCAAAATCGTTGCTGGTTTGAGATTTGCGAAAAAGTATGATTCGAGTGCTTAGAACTGCCTCCAATACTAAATTATAATTAAAACCAATAACCATAATAGATGAAATCATAAAATTCATACCTACGTCATTGAGATTGTTTCCACGCCTCCACTCCCAATTTTCAAGTCTATCCCCACAGAGCAGGAGAATATTTATTGATCTTTTCATTCTTGCTCGCTTTTTTGATACTCTCAAAGCATTTTGTCCACCAGCCATTATTGGGCTCCGCCGTAACATTCGTCGCTGCCGTGGGGATTTTGTTTGTGCAATCTTTCGGAACAAGGAGGGGTGTGAATCGATGACCAGTGGCTGTTGCGCAAGGTTTGATTTTCTTCACATCGTCAAGTCTTGTGTTTCCGCAATTATTGCATTTGAAACCGTATCGACTACACGTTCTTCTAAGTTATGGTTGGTATTCTGTGTTTTTATCGAGCTGTGGTGTTATTGAGATGTGATGTTGCTTAAAAAAGAGGACCAGAGAAAAGTAGGTAGATTGGGAAAGATTGTGACTTGAGTAAATCAGAGCTTATTATTCTCTCTACGGAAATGACTAGATAATAATACCAATTTCCGAATTGTTAATGAATACATGAATTTTGTGACTGTATCAATCATCATCTATCTTGAAATGAGGTGATTTTATTGATACCAGGTATTTTGACCTCTCTTGCGCCACCTTACCTGCCTCGACATTTTCTTTTGTTTTTCGCTTTGAATAGAGAGGCCTACAAAATCCATCTACATACTTACTCTCATAATAAATCCATGAAATGAGCGGTTTGTTCTGGCAGTCTTTCGGGAACCAGAGGATCCGCGAATTGATTGATGGTTTGAAGAAACTATACGAATGGCCCGTATCTTTCTCTTTGACATTCTTTCCTGTCTCCGAGGTTGCCATATGATACACCATCCAAACAGCTATATATCTTCTTGCAGTCGCATAGCCAAACCAAGTAGGTAGAGTTATTTCGAAAGTTCTGAAGGTTCGGTTTTGCTTCGGAGGTGGTGGTTTGCATAGTGACGTGAGCCTTCCCGTGGCACAGCGGACCATAATCCATCTCCAGCGACTGTCGAATAAACATGTGTAGAATGCAATTACACACATCTTTGGGAGTTTCATTTCGCATACTGTGATATCGGTAGTGAGTTTATATGAAATCCAAGAAAGAAAATACCCTAGCGCATGCACTAATACAACCTCTAGCAATTTACACAGCACTCCCAAAACCCTCGCTCCGGGAATTTGTTGATGGCTTCGAGGATGCGCATATTATAACTGGAGCGAGCATTGTTATGAATCGAAAACTATCCAAACACACGCCTACACCAAATGCCGCAACTCAAGCAACATATATAAAAAGCATAGTTTTATTCTCCTTTATCTCATCCTACACCATCATCAATTTCCCCATCAAACCCCCACATTCTCAAATCCGCTCATAAACCCTCTCCCTCTCCCTCCCCTTTCTCTTGTCCTTGCCCTTACTCTTCCTCTCCAAAATCCACCTCGGCGTCATGCGAGCACAAATCCCCGGATGAATCCGAAAATACTCCTTTTCACAATCCGGACAAAGATGTTTCGGAAATAAATCTCTCACTCCTCTATTGAGTTTTACAAGACCCGGTGGACACGCACACGTGCTTCGATTGCCGGAGCCGAGACCTGAGTGGTAGATACCACAGCTATTGCCGTGGGCGACTTTGTGGGGACAGTGTTTGAATCCGTAGAGGAATTCGGTGGGTGGGGATTCTGTAGACATGTTTTCTTTTTTTTCTCTTTGGAGGTTTGGGGGTTGGGGTGGAGAGTGTTAATAGTTGTGTGCTTGGTTTGATTGGAATGGCTGTTGGCAGATACTCAACTTTATAGAAGACGAGTGGATCATGCGAATCTGGCTTCTTGTAGAAAATATTTACCTTAATGTTTTCAGGAAGGTTATTGAAATTTACAGAGTGATTGTGTGACAGTTATGAATGTTATCATTTTCGATGCTCCACTTATTCACTCCCCTGAATTTCAATCCTCGCTAAATGCTTGGCTTTCTTCATCACTTAATGAAACCAACCATTCATTCGAGTACGACGTATAGAATGGAAGAACGACAGGTAGCAGCTTCCCAACAAAAAAAGATAAAATGAATTCTTCCATAAAGAAGGAAGTCATTATTCATAGCACCCGCGACACGAATGATTGTTATTGATAAAGTGATAAAGTGATATTTAAGAGAAAAGTCTCGTTTGCATATCATCCCTGGTGCAAACATAGGCCTATGCGCGACAAGGATTAATTTATAATCGAATTTGTAGTAGTTCCCCTATGTCCAATACCTCCTGTCTGTATGGCTTATATGTACCCGGCTAGTATAAATTCGATACCATTGATGTAATCTCGTATGGGGGTGCATCATCCGGTCCAGTGGTATTTCCCAAAGCTTCAAATTGTGGGGCAGTAGATGCCCAAGACTTGAGATGGAAATGAAATGCTAAATTTATCATGAAAGTGTTTCCCTCTCCAGGAGATACCTATCTTGACTAATATCTTCAACTAGCTTTGTAGTATTTGAGCCGTCCGCGTAAAGTCAGAAACACTCATTGTTAAGAGTCGCAGAATTGATACATAGGTAATCCCACAAGACTCTCGTAATCGTAAAGCTTTCAATTTGGTCTTTGAGAGCAAGGTTCGTCCCCTCCATGGCAGTGAAAATCGCAGTTTGGGAGCGCTCTTGGATCTGTAGGAGCAAAACCTGGAGAATCAAATCTCATCAGATTGAGAAAGTCGACAGTCAAATCTTTGTGGAGGCTCATCGCTAGTGCCATATCCTCAGTTGTCCAAAAATTGCGAATATATTGAGAGTTGTATTCAGCGAAAATTTAATACATGCATCGGCACATAAAATTTCGAAGAGGAGAGTCTGCTGGTGTCATCTTGTATACATCGCTGACCAAGCTTACCCTAGGGAATCTGTCTGACTTCTTATACGTATTTTTGTATATATCGAGAACAAGATCCATGAGGTCGGATAGGCATAGCTTATCGGCGAAACTATACAATGATAGTAGGTTCAGGTCATACTCAACCTTCTCTAATGCGGTAGAGGCATTAAGGACTCGAAGAGTGCCAAAGTATATCCAACCCATGAAAGAATCAAAACATTTCGGATCATCCTCTGGAAAGAATGCTTCACCCCCAAGTCCCTCGACAAAGCCACTTGAAAACATTTTTCGTAAATATGGCACTTTATCACAAAGTATCCCTCGATGAACTCGGAACAGCTTCTTCTGTGGTCCCACATAAATTTCAACAATTTCTAATCCCATAATCCTAACGCACAATTGTTAAGGCATGATTCAAGTGATAGAATGGATATTGACCTACTCAAGAAATTCAGGATCATCTCCTCGAGATTTTCTCAAGGATACAGCTTCTGTTCTCTTCTTCTCTGCTAAATCACGGTCCGCCTTAGCCTTTACAAGGCCAACCCCATCCTCTGTAGTCGAGGAAGAACCTTTTGCATCATCATTTTTTTTCTGAAGATGAAGATAAATATGAATGTTTGTATGTGCTTTCTTGATCTGCCTTGATCGGAGTTGTAGAATTGACCGACATTTTCTTCTTCTTCTTTTTTCTTCAAGCCTTGTCGTAGTTGAAAAGTTTCTTTATGTCTGATGATAAGTTCTTTACATTGAAAACTGATTGTCAGTGAATTTCTTCCAGAAATCAATCTATTTAAACTCTATAAACGTACGTGTATGGAATTAGAATTCGATACATACCTAGGTACGCTTCGAAATCTACTTGACCTGACCAAAATGTCCGAGTGGTGGAAAGAGAGTAGGGTCGTAATGGCAGATTCCAGATTTGAATTGATTTTTGATTAATCGCAGAACAAATAACAGAGAGCTCAAAGTGTTGTATTTGGTGGGGGGATAAGACTTGTCAATGTAAAAATTTGTTCATCTTAAGATTTGAATTCATGATCGTTTTGAAGATGCTATTTGTAAGTTTCGCGATCAATCGTACCATGTGTGATTCAAAGCAGCCCGTACATTGCCCCATGCAGTCAAATGATCTTAGGGTCATTAGCCTACTACAGTATACCTAGCGAGAGCGGTAGTCTCACCATATAAGGATTGCTTCTTCCTATACATATCTAGCTCTTTGGGCTGAATACAATATTGACTGTCAAGGCCTATATGAGAGTCGCTACGTCACCTGTACTCTTCTCATATAAAAAGAAAATGTCGGATAAGGAAGATCCAAATGCTGTCGTGGTGATCAGAGAGGTGAGAAGCGCCGAGATGGGTACATACTATGTCAAGATATCATCTGAAAGATCTCCTGAGGGTCAACAGTGGGTAAAGAATATCCTCGGACCTAAACAACACCGAAGGCTGACTATTCTCGAGGTTTATAGATTCTGAAATGGTTGATGGCCACGTTGGAAAAGATGAGGGTTCGGGTCACTTCCTGCTCCACAAATCGATTCTCTGTGAAAAAGTTCCATACTTCGAAGAGATGTTCAATGGAAATTTTGATGAGAGCACAACTAATAACTCCGCAGATCTACCCGAGTATGATCCCGAAGCTTTCAACATACTTATTATTTCCGTGAGTAATCTTTCCTGAACTGTGGATTAACCAGGTCTACTCTCCTCTACCTTCTGTAAAATATAGATCTACTTGCAGATGATAACAATTCTGCCATGATTTAAAGTGCTATTATAATTAGCATAGATATCATGTTGCTTGTATTATTATTACTCTGTTGCGTACTGATGGCTTGTTCAATCTAGTGGATTTACTCAGACCAAGTGTTCCCGCTAGAAAAAAGAAAGGCAATGATGCGAGATGATGCGTTGGAAAACTATATTTGTTAGCAGACAAGCTCTGTCTTCCTGACTTGATGGACCGAGTATTAGACGAGTTAACATTCAACATGGAGAGGGATAATTGGATCCTGGCCCTTCTTAGCATTGAGACGTTGTTTCATATATATATACGTTGGTTCTAATGTATATCTGAGATACGAATTGACATCAAGTGAAGTGAAGTGAAGTGAAGTTAAGTGAAGTGAAGTTAAGTGAAGTGAAGCTGGAAGACCCTCCCAGATAAAGTACAAGCTCGGACCGGCCAAGCCGGAAGTAGTCTACACGTGACCGTAGATCATCATCCCCCCGCCATCTTCCATCACTACCATTCTGATTATTAATAGCAGCTCGAGATCTCAATTCTTGTAAGAGTTGTGGCCCCGGCTTATCGCACACCACCCTATTTCGTGACAAAATCCCTGCAAAAATGTTGTTTTCTTATATAAATTAATTTTTTTTTAATTCTTTAATGAATCAAAAATATAATTTGAAAATTGATTATATAAATACTAATTATTATTAATTTCCTAAAAAACGAATAAATAATTTTTAATAATTTTTTGAATAAAATTATAAATATTTAAAATTGGAGATTTTCAATATCTTTAATATATAACACTTTTTCTATGTAAAAAAATCACTTTTTTAATTTTTCAGAAATTCTAACTTTAAAAACCTATAACTTTCTACAAAAAATTATCAAAAATATTTTATTCATTTTTTTGAATCATTTTATTGATTTTCTATTATTTATATTAGTTTCAATAATTCAATCTATTTATATATCAAAATAATATATAGTTAAAAAGTTGAAAAAATGAGGGTTTTTAATGTGTTTTCGCTAAGTGTGCGATAAGCCAGGGCCATAACTCTTACATATATAATTGATACATATATTATGTAGTCTCAAACGACTACAATTCACCATCTTACTGTCCTAAGATTCCGAATTCTCTACTCGTATAACTATGCACAATAATCTAATGCAAAAGGCGAATTAACTCCGATAATCCGACATCCGTTCTATCCTGAAATGACGTAACATATCATTGATAGCTAGCTACCCCTGTAGATGGGGCTAGAATTTCGGGAACGACCAAAACCAACACAGAGACGGAAAGCTTATCAAGGAAACATCGGCACCACCATTTGACTTGACGTCTCTACTACCAAAATAACGTTTCAAGAACCACTAATTTATTGTGATTTTTCCAAGTTTCTGTTCACAAGAATTTGTGTTTAATACTTTGCTCTCGCTCTTGCTCTCATCCAGTCTTCCATACTTCATTAATAGACATACTTCTTACGATTGTGAGATTATTGACAATTTACAAGTCAACGGGCGGCTGCGATAAGGAATTCCACCTAATACCTACACAAATATACTCAAGCCATAACCAATTCTCCCCAAACAAACCAATTGATCTCTCTCAAAATGCCGTCTCTCGAAAAAGCTCTTCCGCAACCTAAGATCGAGCTATACAGTGGAAAATACTTCGCAGCTTGTGGACTTGGTGGTATAATTGGTATGACCCCTCTTATTTACCCCTCCATGAACCATCACCCATCCTCAATACTTCTTCCGGATCTTCCGGAACTAACATTCTCTTCCCCTCAGCCTGTGGCCCAACTCATACCGCCGTCACTCCACTCGATCTCGTAAAAACCCGTCGTCAAGTCGACTCCAAACTCTACACCTCCAATTTTAATGCCTGGTCCAAAATCTACCGTGCCGAGGGTCTTCGAGGAGTCTTCTTCGGATGGTCTCCCACATTCGTCGGATACTGTTTCCAAGGTGGTGGAAAATACGGTTTCTATGAAGTATTCAAATATCTCTATGGCGAGAAATTGTTCCCACACGCAAATCAAACGGCAATTTTCTTGGGTGCCAGTGCTAGTGCGGAGTTTTTGGCAGATATGGCACTTTGTCCATTTGAAGCTATCAAGGTCAGGATGCAAACTACTTTGCCGCCTTTTGCAAATAGTTTGAGAGAGGGAATGTCAAAGGTTATCAAAGAGGAGGGGTACGGAGGGTAAGTTTGCTCTCGTAGTCCGAGATGTCTCTTGGGATTTGGAAACGTATGCTAATTGATCCTAAAATAGACTCTACAAAGGACTCTACCCTCTCTGGGGTCGACAAATCCCTTACACAATGGTGAAATTTGCAACCTTCGAAACCACCGTCAATAAAATCTACGCTTACTTGGGGAAGCCTAAATCCTCTTATTCCGGTCTCCAACAAACTGGAGTTTCTTTCCTCGGTGGTTATATTGCGGGTATTGGTTGCGCTGTTATCTCTCATCCAGCAGATGTCATGGTTTCGAAACTTAACAGTGATAGAAAAGCTGGAGAAGGAGCTGGAAAGGCTATGACGAGGATTTATGGAAACATTGGATTTGGAGGTCTTTGGAATGGCCTACCTGTTAGAATTGTAATGATTGGAACGTTAACAGCATTCCAATGGTTGATTTATGATAGTTTCAAGGTAGCATTGGGCTTACCTACTACAGGAGGACATTAGATTAGATGGTGTTGGGTGAAAAATAGCTGGAAAGGAATCGGGAGATGGCGATTTGGGAATACGGAGTCGGCGAGATGGATTGGTTTGGGTTCTTTAATGAAATATTAATGAATGAAATGATTTATTTAAGAAACATTCTTCAATACTCAACTATGGATATCTTCGATGGAATAATCTTTGATGGAACAGACGTGTAGCTCACGTACTGAGGGCACACAGCACCTAAGCAGGAGTGTCAACGAATGGAAGACTACAATCCTTCTCTACACGTCTGTGGTAACGCAACAGTGTTACTTTCGTACTTAATCTCTTTCTCAAAGCTTTTCCTCTGATATCAGTTGGGGCACTCGCCTTCGTTCACCGACGATTGTTTCATGGAGGGTGAGAAGGAGGAACTTCAAATTACTCAGACTATACGATATAGGAGGATTTAAAAGAAGGACTCTTCTCTATATAAAAGATTTCTATCGAATTCGACAAAGACATTCTCTCACTGAGAGCCCTATCCCGCATAGACGTAGGCGAACTCGAACTTCCGAACTATCTTACAGTGAAGTTTGAACCCCCAACGCGGCGAGCTAACTTTTGTCGGGAAGTGATAATGTACGAATCGGGTAGCAAACGTGGCATGATTTTGGTTTCTTGGGGAGTCATATCTAAAAGTTGAATCATGATTACTTGATAATCGGCTTTGAATCATAGATCCAGATGAGTAGAACTTTAGATCTTTCGATTCTTGGAGCTAATCTTTCCATGCGGCGACGAATTGTAGTTTGCATGTGTTTCCTCCCTAACAGACGTAGTGTGATTATTCTTCTTTTTCGCATTTCGCAGGGCCCAGGTGAGGTTGGTATAATTATCGATATACATCGTACGGTATTGATTCGCTCAAGGTGAAATGTCTTTGTAACTAGATTTTACTGTGGTGGAAAGGGATATTCTGCCACAGTTTTCAAGTGTTTTCCTTGATGGTAAGTCGTCGAGGCAGAAGGTATATAATGAGCTGCCGATTTGAGTGAGTCAAAAGTAGAGGCTATCGTTATTTTGATAAGATTTAACTTTCAATTGAAGGCGACGATCTGATTGAGCTCTCGGAGGTAGGTTAGTTTTATCAAAAGTAATCAATAGAAAATTGAACTCAGACTTACTAATTTGTTCATTCCAACCTTGTCACCCTGTTCCTTCCTATTTCATCTTCACTTTCCCATTGGCCAAATCTAGTTCCCATGTTTCATTCTTTCTTTACGAGATGCCACTTACTTGTGTAGGTATTTAGATAACGTGAAATGGAAAACGTATATAATATTGCGCATTAGCATTGTTGGTTTTTATTGACCTGTATATGTATAGGGCCATTTCTAGCGATTTCACATACCTTGGAATAATCGCAAGATATATGACTAGAATCACAGGGCACTACTGACAGCGAAGATTTGCATACTATTTATCTGCAATACGGGAACTTTTCATACTTCGAGCGTTGATTGCAATACTGCACAATATTCTGCATGTTCGGCAATGAATCTTAAAGAACGTGATTTGTGAGGAAATGCTTTACTCCCTTCTCCTCATCACTTTACTCGTCTAGTATATTTCATCAGCTGATTTACATTTCAGCCTAGCTTGGGATCACCACTTCTTTATTCTCCAGTTTGTCTAGCTGCTAAGATACATACATCATTGAAGTCACTCTCCTTTTTTATATTCACGTTGGTCACAGATAAGACACCACTCAAAAGAAGTTTTCCCAGCATATGAGGATAGTTCAAGTGATTCAATGGCGTCGAAATGTATATGTGACTTGCGAGGTTGATGATGAAAATTCACACAGCAAGTCCGAATTTTGAATGATCTGTATACCTTCACTTCATAGTATACTAGTAATGGCGCCCTATTTACGCCCATCCAAATGACGATTCGATATCTATAGCGTAATATTTGACCTTGAAAGTTATTGATACCTGTCATCTATTAGAACCCATTAACCAAATAGAGCTTAATGTACCCCGCCAAACCGTTGAAAGTTCTAAATATGACAGCACTCCTTAACGTTTGTCGATCTTTCTCGTAAACTATACCTATTTAGAGCATTGACAAGTTTATGGCGCAACTGTTTTCCAACATTTCATCGTTTGGTTTACTACTAGATGAAGATTTTTCTCGCTGATCAACTCTTAGATCACATCTTAGGGTTACTGAGGGGGTGATCTCTCCTGAATCGAGTTTACGTTGAAGTTAATGCTGTCAGAATGTCTAATCAAGTGTCAATAGCTTCAGGACTAGGTCTCTGGTGGAAAATGACACATATATATAGCTGCAAATTTCCTCGATTTACCAAGATTTTTTTCTCTCTTTCTTGTTAAAAATCATCACTCGACTCAGGAAAATAATTTTATCACTTTATATTGGCTTCCCTGCCTCATACCATCATCATCATCAACTTCAAGACTTCAGATTTCATATCAGCAGTCCATTCATATCATATCATTCTCTCCTCCAATAGCTACAAAACCCTTACCTATCACCATGGTTAGATTAACATACACCACCGCCGCAATAGCCAGCGCCACCGCCCAAATTCCTGGCCTTTTTCTGGTCATCTATTTCAGTCCTCCACATAACTATCCATCGTCTTCTTTTTCTGATGAGGAATTGCTACGGCACAAAGGTCGTCGTCAAGTCAGCGCTATCATGATATTTCTCTTCACTTTCAGTATGACTTTCCTGTCCTTTGCATTGAGAATCAAGGATGAGAGAGGCAACAAAAGCGAACACGGAGACGCATGGAAAGCGAAGACATGTGCGGAGCTTGTCATCGTCAAAACCGCACTCAAAAAGGAGAAAGAACGAGTAAACCGTATCGAACAAGTCATGGAGTCGCTTCAGGCACAAGTTGGTGTCTTGCGAGCTAGATTGACAGTTAGAGATGCAGAAGCTAGGAATAAATCCACAAGGGGACAGGCAATGGAGGATGATCGCCAAAGGCAAACTGAAATCTTGGTAACGAGAATTATAACCCAAGAGGCAAAAATGAAGGAGGTTTGGGAGAGATTAGATGAGAATGATAGTTGTCACGATGCTATCGGGGTGTGGATTGAAAAATTGAAAAGCGAAGGAGAGAAGACAAAGGAGGAGCTCAGGAAATTCGATTGTGTTGATAAAGAGATAAATGCATTGTATCAATACTTGGTAAAGGAAGCCAGTATAATTCGAGAATTCGCAAACGGTGATCTCGAGAAGTTCAGAGTAGATATAGAGACTTTCAAGCGTTGTTGCGCAGAGGATTTTCGAAGGATACATGGTGATAGGCTAATTAGAGAACTGGTTCTAAGAGAGGAAATTAAAACTGAAATCAAAAATGATTTGAGAAGAGAACAGGAGATGAGGGAAGATACAGCTTCTAGAGGAGAGAGCTCATCCCAAAGAAACGCTGAGCCTGTAGAGACAAGAGTCAATCAAGAAGTCGTGGGAAACACGGGGGGCGATAAGAAACAAGAAGCAGATACATCGGCCAAAGCCAAGACGCCAATCCAAGAGAGAAAATCTTTCCTTCACAAAGCTCTTGCATCTGCCATCCAGTCCTCCCTCGATCAAGAAAGAGATGCTGAAATGAAAGATCTCGAGCAAGGGAAAGATGAAGCCATGAAAGATATCACGCACGAACTCAAAAATAGGGCTGAGGTTGAGGGGGAAGGCAATAATCCGGACGAGGAGTGGACTGAGCTTCGATATTAGAAAGGTTTTTGGGAAGAGGGGGAGAGGATTTTGGGGAGTTATAGGAGTTTGGGGAGATTTGAGAGTCATGATATATACCCAAGGTAATCTCTTATCATTCATCCTCAACAAACACAATATACTGAAAATATCAAAGACCAAAAAAAAAAACAGACAAAAGAAGTACCAAGTAAAAAAAGATTCAAAAAATTATAATCAAAAAAATCCAATATATTTTACCCACGAAATAATGTCCTGTAGAGCCCCATAGCCGAGATTCTGAAGAGTGAGTGAGCTATTTGGGTAAGAGCGACTATTAAACTATTCGACTAATTGGCCCAGCTTCTCTTTCTTATGCACTTCATCATGGGCACCTACACTTCCTCATCCACTTTACATACATATCTTACATTCCCTACCACCCACAAAACCAAACCTTTCCCAGACTTCCATAACAATTTGAGTCAAAAAATCATTAAGAAAATCAGGCAGGTAAGTTATTACTCAGTACAGTCGAAGTATTTGGTAAGAATAAGGAAAGGATACTCTCCAATTCATCTACAATAAACAGCGGTATACATACGATTTATCTCGTCCACGGGCATTGTATCATACCCCTTATAATGGTACTGTCGGATACTTGGGTTGGAATGGGTGACAGTTATAAATATCAGAAGAAAGGAATTAGGGAAAAGAAGTGAACGTTAGGCTTCGTGTATGAAATTGAGACGGCTAGGTAGGTAGTTATGAGTTAAGGATTTAACATGGTATAGTGTGATTGTAGAGCGTTGTTTCGTTGATTCCACAATCATGGAAGATACAAACGATGCAATGTGAGTAAATGCCTGGTGATTTGAAGTCTGACTTGGCCATCAACATTTGAGGAGTGGGCATCATAGGCAGTATAAGTTAAGATTTTGTGACACAATGAATCACATTCCAAGACAAGATAATAACTAGGCATGCTGATATCATCCTGAGACCATGGTTTATAGAGCAAAAAAAGTTGAGATTGTAAGTATAGCTAAGCTAACTATCCATTGAAGTATCATATCGTCATAACCCATGTCCGTCCGTCCATCCATTCCGTTCCCAATTACCGTCCGAAGCTATTTATCTAGCCATTGCATTCTATGCTTTATTGCAGAACACATTCTTTCATTCCAACTCCAAACGCCTTAGATGTCAATTCCATCAACAACAATACCCTTCTTCCATTCATACTCCATAAACTTAGCAATCTCACCAGCAGTCTCTTCATTGACCATAACGCTGACAAGATACAAACTAGCATCAAGTCCACAAGTGATGCCTCCGGTGGTGATAACGCGAAGACCGCCAAGACGTAAAGCAGCTCTACGAGCATTGCTTTCACGACGGTTGTTTGATTCCTTCCAAGCATTGGAACCCTTACGAGCATTTGATGGACGTCTAGCATCAGACTTGCGACGAACGTACTGACTCTCCTCTGGAGAATCAATATCAAATCGAAGGTTGTTCACCACATATCTCTCCTCAACAACATCACAACGTTCTGCCAAGTCTCTTTGTGCGGCCTCACTATTGATATTTTCGAATTTGGCGAAGTAGTCTGGATGTGTGGTAGCTGAGAGACCGTGAAGGATACCTTGTTGAGCAAGGAAGAGAGAGCCGGTGCAGATAGATAGAAGTGTGCGTTCCTTCTCAGGATGTTTTTTCTGCAAATCAGAGAAAGCTCTGATGAGACCAAGAGGTTCAGCTTTGTTCTTGAGGACTTGATCGGATCCACCACCTGGAACGATGAGGATATCGTATTGTGAAAGAGTGGCATAAGCATCTTTGTAATTGAAGTGAGCACGGAATGCAGCTCCTTGATTGGAGACGGTGAATTCCTCGGCAGCAACGAACTTGCAATCGAACGCCTTGGATTCTGTAATGAAAGAGTTGAAGGTTAGCAATTGAGCAAACGATCATGGTCAAGAGTAAACACAAACAACAAAGAGTTATTCATCCGACCTCAAGTACATTCAATCAAAAGAGTAAATGAATCAAACTTACTTGGATCATTAACATCATGCTGAGCACGGCTAAGAACTTCGAGGGGACCGATGAAATCCAAAGCATCCATGCCAGCATGAAGTGTGAATAACACTTTGATGATAGGAATTTCTGGTGTTGACATGATTGCGACTGAAGAGGTATATCAAAATGATATGATGTTGGATTGTTCAAGTGATTGAAGTGGTTGAAGTTGTTGATGAAAGGTTGAAGAAGATGATTGACTTGATGAAAGGTTGATATTCAGATTGAGTGGATGATGAGGGGGGAAGAAGAGGTTATAAAGTATTGGAAACAAGGTCAGGTCGTACGAGCAAGCAGAAGATCACCATATGCCTCACGTGTTGGATTGAAATGCGGGGTAGCTATGAGGAGGACAATTTACTTTTCCCTTTATGGATTAGTCTTAGGATCGGACAATGCGGGGAATTTACCCCTGTCGCCTTCTCCTTCTCTCTGCCCCTCCTTTTCTTTTTCTCAAGGTATATGTCACACGCGACCACTCCAAGCATTCCAACCCTTTGATGATCCATTGGATCCAATATGTCATTAAGCATTGAAGCATTAACAAAGATCGATAATCTTTACTCCATTCATACCTCAAAACAGCCAAAAATGGATATCAATTGAACTGCTGCCACCGACCTGACAATATGACGATACCAGACCCACCCAATCATACCACAATCTGAGATCATTCGATGGTATGATTGGGCAATTGAAACGCGTATACCATTGGCTTTTTAAGGTTCAAGCTCATGTATAGAGCTATAATAATCCCTCAATTTATGGATCTTTGCTATCGTATCAAAACGCTATGGGCCGTCGCGTGTTGGTAGCATCGACCGATTGATGAAATGCTTGGCGAAGTCATGATTGCGTTGGATCATTGGCCAGAACCGCGAATAAGGTTGAGAACTCTAGTTGTTATCCATTGTAGTGGTTGCCGATTGAGCTACTCTATCAATTCATTTTGAGGATCCCCGAGATATCGAAAGTCTGCCCTTTTACTTTGAATGAATGATAACCTCAATATACCCGGCGATGGTAAAGTAGTAGATTCCCAAGTCTCACGACTATCCGATGTAAGGTCAAATCATAGCTTCGAAATTACCTATTAGGCATTTAGTGATGTTCTATTGATTTAATACTGGGGCCCCTTCACTCATCTATCATTTGTGCATCGATTGACGACATGATCAATGCCTTTGAAGCTTCGTCTCATAAATGAAGCATGCAGATATCACGCCAGTAACGCATGCATTCCTTGATGTTTTACTGGAATCATGCAGAATCATGTGACTTGCCTCTGTCGACCAAACAATAATAAGGACGATGACTTCCACAAATTCTCACCAATTGCTTCATTAAGATTGAAGCATCCAAGGAAAGTCTCCTGATTGTGAATTATCTCGAGCCCTAAACCTCGATAAGCCCAGAACAATGAGAAGCCCTGGAGAATTAAGAAAATAACTTGGGTATGTCGATGGTAGAGGTTATAGTAGGAAATCAAACACGTGATTCATTTAGTTTGATGTTGATCTATTTAACGAAGTACAGGTCGTCAAAATATGGTATCTCCCCCATCTTGCTGAACTATTTATACACACTGACAGTCTCCAGTACCTCGCTCTCCTGCCTCTCCAAGCACACAACCCCTTTCAGCAGATCTCCATTGCCCCTAACAATTCATGGCGAAACAGCCTGTTCCCTAGCCACAGGGTCCCAACTTCATTCTTCCTCGCTTCCCCATTCTAACCGAGCAATCATGAAAAGACAACCAAAAGGACATGCCCTACTCGTGGACGAACGAAGTCTAGGTTGACAGAACTAAGTGACCAAGGCAATATATTATTGTCAGAAAGAAAATTCTCAACCCAACCATCGCTTTTGCTTCACTTGGAATGGCTCTTTCAATATGAGGATTTTTTTTTAACTAAACCGGCCGAGGACCTAAATTGGTGAACCCAACTTAGACGAGGGGCTGAGTTGAGATGTCCTTGTGGAGTCATCACTATCGTCGGAGAACTGATATTTAGGGTTTCTGCCTTCCGTTAGGATATACTCGGTATGCGAAGACTGGGAAGACTGCGTAGGGAGTAGAGGGTGATTCCAACATTCTCCGATTTTGCACCGGCAGTTTCTAATTATTCCTCTCTGGAAATCACCCTCTGACATCCAGTTATATGACATGAAGTGTCGAAACTCAAACACTTCTGTAGAAAATATGGATAAAAAAAGTTCCATGCATCTTTTTATTGCTACCTCTTCTCCTTCTAGTCCTGGACCACTAAAGTTTAAATGCGTATGTACACTTTGTGCTTGAATCAACGCATGAAACTTTTTTACAACACATGCATAATTGAGTAAAATGAACTGCATTTCACGTGCAAATACCCACAAATGTAATGCTAGCAAAGTGTGAACCAGGACATTTCTTATCGAGTACTTCAAATTTCTTATTGAAGTATCTATACCTAAGAATCGGCTTTTATATGCCTACCTCATAGAAAAGAACCAAGTTAGAAAACCTCGCTCTGGGTTGAGTACGTCCTCTAAATACTCCTCAGGTAGGATCGCAAGTTTACCTACTGAGGTGATTTTAGCAAAGGTGCTAAATGCATTTATTCCTCAAATATTCCTGATATTCTTTGTCTCTCCGGGTATCAAATCATAATACCCAGATAATATACTATTGCCTTTTCATAAGGTGTGGAAATTTGCGGCATGTACAAGTTCCTACGATGGCTCCAGCCATGGTATTGCTTGGTATAAAGCGTTTCTCGGTGCCACATAAAGATATAGGAGTCGCCAAACAATAGGGGATTCGAGTAGGTGGATCGAATCAGAAGCGTCATTATCGGCGACATTGTCGTTCATCGTCATTGATGGTGGCGAGGGCCACAGTACATGGTGCGTTTTCTCATTAGTGCACCTTTTATTCAGACCAATTCCATTTCTCCCCTCTCAACATGCTCTTTGATATCCGACCATCTTGCAATCACAACTTCACCTCTACCAACATCTTTGATATCATCGCCATCTCTCCCTCTTCCCAAAACAGCTATACTACCACCATCACCAGTAAATTCTTCGTAGCTTCCCGTACCTCTGGCAAATACCGCCGTATCTTCATCCGGTCCGCTGATCATAGAAATGCCTCCAGCTTGATCATTCAAATTCTGTAGTGTGCTCGGAAAACTCCCCAGAAAACTCGACAAGTAATGGTTGTGTAGTAATTGTTGATGTCTCGTGGCATACGCTATTTCGGTTTCCGATAATCGTGATCGAAGGTCTTCGTTGCTTAGATAGTGTAAAGTATGCGCATCAATCTAAAATATGCAAGTAAGCAAATGCGCATCCAATTGTGCATGTTTTCAGGCATACTTTTGCGATTCTGGCTCTGACCAATCCTCTGATAAGGTATTTCCACCTCTCCAACTCTGTCTGTAAACAAATAAGACCAAAATTGGTCTTCGGATCCATATCTCCAGTTAATTCCTCTACCTTCTCGATTTGCTTTTTGATTCGTTCCGTCACTCGTTCGATAAGATTATTGGGAGGCCATCTATTATCTCAGCAGATGTCAGTCCCGATTGTAATAAGGATATCGCAGGACGCTGGAGGTCGTCGCATGTAGTGAAAAATGGGTTAGAACCAACGGTAGAATCTCTGGAGCTCCACGCTCATTAATCCAAGCTCTTGTTAAAGCTTGTAGGTCTGCCTCGGGTGTATTTGTATTTCTGGGTCGCAATGCGTCCTCAAAGGGATCGTTGAGAAATTCATCGATATCCATTATTACAGAAGATATAAAATCGAGGGACAAGAAGGGAACTTCTCTTACTTGTATATAATAATTGTGAGAAATTTAACTATTCGTGAGATGGTTGTAGAATATTTGATAGTAATATCAAGCGCCAAGTCGCGGGGTCGGCGCGTTTAAACGCGTTTGATATTATGGGTCTCTAAGGCGACGGATCTCATATCACTTCCGTTGATGAATATCAAGGTTCAATGTTCAATTACTAACGCGGTTATATAGTATAAATATTCTGTTTTGACATCAAGTCATTCAAAGTGTAACATCGAAGGAGCAAGATAGGAGTAGATTCTGAATATCTACAACAATTATAGATTCAATGAACACATCCTCGAGACATCATAAACAAAAAGGTCCAGGCTTCAACACCAAAAATTGCGGAGCTCAGAAATCCATAATTCATTCGCTTACCTAATCAGACCCATAAAGATCTCGAGACCCTCAAGAAAATGAAATAGCAAAAAAAACTTGAACATCATTCACCCTCCCTTTGCAATATAAAATCAGTCGAAAAAAATGCAAAAAAATTGGTAGCTTCTCTTTGATTGAGCGTGTCATCCTTAGTGCAGGGGCCATGCTAATCTTCTCTGTATCGTTTCAAATTGACCACTAATGAATTTGTTAGTTTAGATGTTGATTGCGGAAGAATTGGTAAATACTTACAATGCCCGAAGGCGAAGTAAAATGTTACATTTAAATACATATAGTACCCCAAGCGTCCCAAGATCAGCCCATTAATTTTCTGCAACCACAAAAAAAAGGTTTCCACCACAATAATCAAAGACGATAATAAATCTCATATCTACCATCGCGCTTTCCATTCGATAAATGTTTCGGTGATCCTCCAAGCATTTTCTCGTCGCAAATGTTATTCCATGCTGTTATTGTCGCATTCTGTGAATGACTATATCGATTTTGTTGGATTCTCGCACAAGTAATGGTGGGTTCTTGCAACCATTGCGTTTCTAATAAATCAATTTCTGCATTCGAGTAATTCAACTTACATACATATAATGATTGGCAGACTGTCGCCTACATGTTTTCCCTTTTCATGAAACCGTATTGCCAGTATAGTCTGTAGGCTAAGGCATGTTAGTATACACTTCTCTTCATGCGACAGACCTCTCTGCTTGATCTTGACCAGTGTTTCTTCGCTGGGTCGTTGCCTTCAAATCTCCATTCAACCGTTCAATGGTGACTTAAAGCATTCCAATGGAGGCGGCCGATTGATAGCTTCAAGACTCGAAACATCATGGTCCTGTGCGAAATGTAAATAAGTTCCATGCTTATCTCTGGAAATAATTTGTGGTGATGTTGGAGGTGGGGTAGTAACCCCGTGTTAGGGCTAGATGTGGGTTTGAAGTAACCGTCTCGAGACCGCATAAGAAGCCATGTCTAGCTAGCCTTTTATGTCAATTACCCGTTCAGTTATCTTCAAAGAATATATGGTTATTTCGTTCTCGTTGCTTACTAGAGCCTTCGTTTTATAGTCCCAATCATAGATGAAGTCTCATCATGAATACAACTTCATTGTTGGAATTACCGCTGAAAGTCTTGGCGAATCGTGGGCAGATATTGAACTCTATACATACGTTCTATCAATGATAGGGCTGAATATGCTATCGCCGGCCCTTCATCTTGATCGTCTTTTAGTTCAAAGTCGAGCAATATGTGGACATATTGGCGAAGGTGGGTTGAAATGGTTGATGGTTTATTTGTGATTTCGATCATATCGATGCATTATACAAATTGGATTGGAACAGTTCATGGCTTTTCATTCAGCCCGGAGTTAGATATCAACGATGTCAAATTTAGTAGAAAGAAGAATCGAACGTTTACGTTGGAGTGAATTTGAAGTTATAGTGAGTAATACATTTCTTCGAGTCAGGGTATTAATACTCATCACTGGGACTCATTGACACCTCATGACTGTATTTACATTTATAAATAGTATATTATATCCTATTTATTCGATTATTCATATAACTAAGCTTCTTGAATACACCTTGTGAAGCTCGAAATTTGTCTACTTAAGCTTCGAGATCCCCTCGAATGTAAAATGTAAAGCAGAAGCAGAAAAACATTTCTATACATATATATTCTTGAGCTCATCATACTTTATTCGTTGGCATCATTGAAATCTCAAAAAATATCTCTTTTTTTCTATCAATCTAAATTACTCGGTTATTTATCATGGGACTAACTGAGGAAGAACGCAAAAAGGCTCGCAGGGACGCTCAAGGGCGTACTATATCTGGCCCTATCGATGTTATAGCCTCAACGACATTGCGTGAAGGTAGTGGTAGTTATATACGAGATACCAACGATCCTACGCAACAGCCCCCTCGCTATCCTAACGCCTCTCTCATTTATACAGGCCATTCATCAACACCCGGTCAGTCTAATGGTCATGGCAATCCTAATCTGGCACCTCAAGGCTCTTCCAGGTCAGTCCCTGACAATACCCACCAATTAAACCAGGCTCCAGCTCAACCCGCACGTTACCAGCAACCGCCTATGCATACCTCTAGTCCCGGTCAATTTATCGATACTCGTAGGCCCAGAAGCCGGGATCGTTCTAGCTCTGCCCAACGCAATAGTGGAAATCGCAGTCAATCTAGACCTTCTTCGTCTCATTCTAATGCTTCCTCTGTTGACAATGGCACGACAACCACCTCCCAACGTGGCTCTCGCGGCTCTCGTCACTCTCATCACTCTCATGGCTCTCGTGACTCTACCGATAGTCATTCATCTACCGCGTCCTCTTTGGACCGAGATCCTTTCGAATATGATAGCCCCAAGTACAGAAAGCTCCTCAAAAAGGGCTGAAAATGCACAATTACTAGGTTGGAAGCGAGACTTTGGCGGCGTTTTCTTTTTAGATAGATAAAAGGGTTCAAGGAAAAGTCTCGGTTTTGAGATATGTGGCTGACATTGGTTCCTTTGTCTTTTTGGGGGGATTGGGGTTTTTTTCTTATAAATAATGTTTCTTAGGAATGGGAGTCGGTTCGGGAGGGGGGTGTAAAGGGGGTTATTTTCTTTGGATTGGGAGTCATCTATTTTTCACGTTGGTTTTTCTTCGTTGCTTTATTGGGGAATTGGTGGGCTAGTATATAATTCGGGGTTGGTATAAATGATTACGGGGTAGAATATCAGAGTCGGACATAATTGGCGACTATTTGGCGAGGAAATCTATTTTGTATGGAGCTCAACTAGTCCTTTACATGAATTCCATAGTTTTGGATCAATCAATGCTTTTACCATACTAAAACTCTTCGTTTCCATCAATGCAAAGTGATTAATGTAATAGATCCATTGAGAATGCTCCCAATCAAGCACGACGGAGGAAGCGAATTGTGTGTGAGAAAATACGAGGGTCATAAAGAGTTAGGAGGGAGTGAAGTGCCATGATACGAACATAAGCGGAGGACTTAAGGGGCGCAGCTTTAGCGAGCTATTCGTAGGAGAAAAATGAGACGGAATTTGATCATTTCTATAGTATCTTTACAACTTGATTACTCCCTTTCAAAATCATGTGAAATCAAATCTTTGAATACTATTTGAATGATAAGAAAATCATTCCTCTCCTGATTTTTTTGAAGTTTTATAATTCATTTGTGGTTGATTTTTATTCAATTATTTCAGAAAATTTCAGTAGATTTACATGATAGAATCCCGCTTGTTTTTTCACCTACATAGAATTAGGCGAGGCGAGCCCATTTTTTCAACAACGAAAGAGCCGAGAAAGCTGATCAATCATGAATAAATCTTGAAAATTAAAGTAAGCGCTAATTACAACCACATCAATATAAATAACACAGGGAAGCTTCATTACCAGTATATATTTTTTTCACACAACAATCAATCCCATCAACAAAATAGGGAAGTTCTGGAAATCGTTTTACACCGTTAAGAGCAAGCTTTTCGACTTAGTAAACTCAGTACCAACCTCTAAAACACAATTTATATTCAAAAATAGACATTTAATAGCCATCTAAGCAAATCAACAAGTTATGGAAGACCCCGCAACATCACCATGGAACATCCATATCAGTTCCTCCGACCTCAACAAACTCAAAGCCGGTTTCGAGGCACCAGATATGGATCACAGATGGGAAATTACACCTAAAGAAATTGATGGAAATGGAATTATATACGTCCATATCAGTCGCAGCTGGACTGAAGAAGATCATTTTATACTTGCTGTGAAACCGAGTGATGAGGATGGTGCGGATATTGTGTCTATTATGTGGGATCAAAATGAAGGCGAGGTGAGGAGGGAAGAGGAGTATGCGAAGAAGGAAGTGGTGGTTATTTGTAGGATGACTTTGAAATGCGAGTTTGAGGCGCTGCCGTTTTATGACAGGAAGGTTTTGTGGTCTTCGAAGAGGTAGATCGAGTTTGATGGTTGGGTGGTGCTTCCACTGAGTAGGATTGAAAAGTGGCAAAAAGTCCACAGAGAAGCCGTGTCGATTAATCTGAGGAAACTCGTTTTGTTTTGATTTATACATACAATCTGCGCAGATTCTGCACGAAAATAAAGTCGACAAAACAGAGTTTGTCCAATGATTGGCCCCATTTCTTGTCCGCCATCACACTTTCTAATGGCACGATTTCACATGACTCTCACCATATAAAACCACTCTCTTTTCCTGAAATCTTCTGGATTAGAGAAACTCGTACCGTTTGCTTTCTTGCCTGGTAATGGATGAGCTTTCTGTTTCTTTAGGCTTACAAGCTGTTGTCAAAACACGGGATATGAAATCGTGGTATTTGCCTGATCTTTGGACGGGGAAAGAAGACGGACATGAATAAACAAAACGGTAACAATATTTAAGATTTGACGATAAAAATTTGTATTTTTCAGATATTGTCCCCCTCAGAGATCTTGAACCTGTTGAAATGTAGAGCAAAGACAAATAACTAGCTATCTGGTGAAATTCCGATGCAGGTTATATCCTCTTGAAATTCTTTCTTGAGAATACTTGTTTATTGCAGCCTAGTAACAGCAAATGTCCTTATATACCTTTGCAATGATTTCTTTTACCGACTTCTAGAGTATGGAAACAATACTCAGGTGCCACTAGTGAATCATCAAGTCATTTGCTCACATTCTGTTTGCATTATCGATCTCGAGAACTCTATTCACTTGTCTATCAATCCCGATGCAAAATGGCGTCTCTTTCCTCCCTTTTCTACGATCTCAACATATAGGCTTCAACTCTTCCTAGTTTCTATGTTCTGTACCTAGATAGGCATCTGATATCGATAAAGCAAGACAGGCTGGTGAGAAGAACAGCCTGCGCCAATATCACAATTTGAGTTATGAGGCAATAATTCGTCTGAAGTGGAGTATAATATCTTACTGTCACCACTTTTTGAGTTAGTACTAGCGATATTAAGGATGTAGAACGGAACAGACAGGGAAAAGTTACATTGGACAACAGGATAAATCATGACCACAAATTTCACGTAACTGAATCTATATTTTGAAGCTTAAATCCTGGATTTCACCTAAATTAATCCCGTGTTACTACATGGTAACGAGCTGTCCAACTTCGTAAGCTCCTGCGGTGAATTTTCATAACGGAAAAGCACTTGATGCTTTAGAACCAACTGGCAGGATCAACAGCTTTTATAGAAAGCGTGTGCAGGCAATGGATGCATATGGAGAAAAGGCTGACGATATGTAGAATGAGCGTACATTCACCATTTTTCGCCTTCTTCCCAGGGCGCTCCTTCCCCTCCAATGGCTGCATGATTCACCCTCATCAGTCTTCCTCCAACAAGCATCATCTACAGCGAACACGAAACCAACCCCTCATCTCATACCCTCGTCCACCAGCCCAACAAAAATCCAAAATCCCTTTCACACACATATAAACTGCTCTCTCAACCATTTCCTCTGATGAAGAATCATCTCATGATGACGAAGCCCAAGTTAACGAACTTGAAGTTACATCAAATGAAGCTTCCGAAACGAACATGAGGGACAGCGTCGAAACTAAATCACGGTGTTCAGGTTCAACACACACTTATTACCATTACTCCGTTCTGAGGAAAATCACAAAGATGATAAGGGTTTGAATTAAAACACAAAATCTGTTGTTAAAATGAGATAGGAGTAGAACAATAGCTTGGGTGATAATACATAACAACAAAAATTGATTAATTGTCCATCGATAGTAAAGGAATGATCGCATTGAAATTCGACCGAAATTCTGTCCAGCTCGTGCTAGAACAGCCAGACACCCCGCAACTAGCTCGGGACTACAGGCAACCTTGCCAGTCACCATTAGTTGCAGACCTCATAATTTCTCCCTAGTCATTGTGCAATTGGCTGTTTGAAACAAAAGGAATTGGAAAGTTTATATAACAATTGATAGAAAGTTTGGAAGTGTATCCTGAGTCTTAGAGAGATGTCCATCAGAGGGGAGTGAATTTGTCAGACTGAGATTATTGAGGTGACTCCAAGTGCTGTATATGTAATGATTTGCGGATAATGACAGTTTCCATGATGAAATAACGTGAAATTCCTGGAAACTTATAGTCGTGTTTGGCATATATCCTCTGATTTCTCAGGCAGGGCTCGACGTTGAAGAAATGGCAATAAAATTATGATGTCAACAATCATGAATGTTGGTAAGAGTAACAACAGAAAAAACACTATTATTCTTCGCCAACCCTTCATAGTCATTTCGATTTTACTTTGAACCCCAAGTCGTAGTGGACACAGAGTATCTTAGGCACAGTGTCGAAGCTAGAACTTCTTACACCCTGAGTTCATAGTGTTGGAGCTAACAAACTCTCATGAGGTGTTATATCGAAGATGCGACGTCTTTAAATAGCACAGAGAAGGAATCATTTGCCGAATTGTAGGGTTAACAAAGAAACAGCGATTGAATATTCAGATAGGCTTACCAATTCACCAAGTATTTCTCAACTCTATACATAATGGATCTCAGCCGTTCAATTCATTCATCATCTCCCCCCATATTTTTCCTATTTGTTACTCTTACTTTCTTAATGCTAAAATCATTCTTATAAATTGGCTTTCACGGCCTCTTCTCCTCTCTACAGCAAATTGAGGAGTATCACTAGCAACTCAAACAAGAATAGCCTACTGGACTAGCATTTCCACATGATACGTCGTTAACGCGGGCAAAGCCGGACGTGAAGAGAGTACAATATCTTCTTGATTTTTACTTGGTATAATATCGGACTGAAAAATATGCAACGAAAGAGGTAAAGAATCAGTGGAGAAAAGTGAAAAGCGGGAAATGGTAGCGAGGGGCCTCGAAGATGATAAGAAATAATTTCGAATCTTTTTTCGAAGTATGAGAGATCGCAGAGTATAGACAGAGGCATGTTACTCGTGGAGGTTTCATCTACACAACAGAGCAGGACATAGTTTGGGTCTCTTTTTCGCACGCATTGTTTGGATGAATTATAAAGCCCCAAATTAAGGCTTTTATAGCAAAAGACAAACCTCTAGACAGGGAAGTTAGGAGGAAGATTCAACGAGCCTACTAGCGCACAGTTCCTTTTCCTAACTTTTCCTATTCACTAGATCTCGCTTCTCCCACGATCATTCCTCTGTCTCTCGTATTTAGTCGCTTTTTCCTATTAATGACACAGGATTTCCTAGCTTCCACTACTTCCATCTATACCATCACTAGAAATAAAATGATTCATCCAAGGAGTGAAAATACACATGGCATTCATTCACGTGGACAATACCCGTTTCCATAGTAGAGTCTTGAACATATTCTTTTCCCTAAGCCTTCAAGTCTTGATGTCTAAATCGCTTGATAATGACACGTAAGAGT